AATTTTTTTTTAAATGGAGGTACTGGGGATTGAACCCAGGACCTTGCTATGCTAAGCCTGCTCTCTACCACTGAGCTATACTCACCCCCCCCAAAATTATGATCTCTGAAACATTTTCAGAATTGAATTTTGCTTTCTCAGATGCGCATTTTAAAGCCAATACGTATCTTTCCCCTCATCCCATAAAAATGATGGCATTTGGGTGCTTATTCTGAGCCTGCAGTCCTTTGCCTGTCTATGGATTCCGATTTCTTTATTCAGATTTTACATGAGTACATCAGTCAGTAACATTTTCTCCTGAAGTATTCCTCCTGAGAAAAAGTAATTCACGATCTCTGCCAAGGAGGGAAACTTCTGTACCTGCTCTTTCCCAGCATGTAAACAGTATTTAAATGAGAGACCCAGCATCTGTGACTTCTTGAGAATAAAGGTCATTCCTTTTGAGATTAGAGCACAGTTAGCTTCAGCACTTCCTCAGGTACTTTGTACAACTGCACTTTCCTCAGATTTCCTTCATTTCGTTTTTACTCTTCAGTTAATGAAGCTGACTAGGGATTATCGAGAGTGTAGTTCTAAACTTATAAACGTGATACTAATTAGAACAATCGGACAAGTTATTTGACGTTTCCTTACTTTGTTTGAATCTGTAAAATGGGGGAAATAATCGACCTGTCATAAAGTTTTCAGAGGTTAAATGTTTATGTAAAGATCTTAAAACTATGCCTGGCACATGGTATGTGCTTACTAAGTGTTAAGCTAATGATACTATCACAAAAGATGGTAAGCATGTGCATGTGCGATTGGTCAGTTAAGGCTTTACCTGAGGACTTGGGAAAGGAGGATTTGGGCAGTTCTGAAGGATAAGTAGGAATTGGCTAGGTGGGTAGAAGGAAACTATTATAGATTTGGGGAAATGACGTAAAAAACAAGGTGGAGTCGGAAAGGAAAGGAAGACAGTATTATAAGCCACCTTGGCTGGAGCAGACAGCACAGAAGTTGAGTCTAACAGTGAAACTTCTAAGGGCTGGAAAATGAGTGGAACAGTGAGGTGAAGAATGCAGGGGTCTGGACTGGCCTCCTGTCCTTTGGCTGCTTCCTAGGGAGGCCTTGTGGAAGGAATCATCCCCATGCTCAGGGGTCCCGTGGTCCATTGCTGTGCTTGCTTGACTTTTTCTCTCCTCTTCTTCTGGTTACATGCTGCAGGTAAGTTATCAAACTCTGTCTTAGTGTCATTGGCCACCTCAGAGGTTTTCAAGGAATGTGTTTAAAAAGAGCTTGCTAGGATTTCTTGGAATGTTTTGAAAGTGAATTGGACTAGCCTTTTGGCCAAGGGTGGAGGGAAGAGCCATACTTGTTGCTCTCTTCCCGTGGAGTTGGGGAGCCCTGGGACTCTCCCAGCAGTTTACGGAAAGGAAAGGTTTTTCTCCCTAAAAAGTTGTGTGAAATCTTCTGTTTGGTATTTTCAAATTTCAAGATACTTTAACACATCTTTTTCTCTTGAAAAAGAATTCCTCTCTTGACCTTGTCTTGGGAACACTTATTCTCAGGGATAATCAAAAACCGTAATGAAAAGTAAGCATTTTAAATTCATGAAATCTGACTGGTCTGCATAAGGAGCATTATAAAAGAAAAGAAACGTTTTTGCCTGGGTATTCACCCTAACTGGTGTGTATGTGTGTGTGAACATGTATGAATGTTTGTGTATATATTACATGTGTGTTTATTTCTAATTACTATTTCAGTCCTCTTCTCAGAAGGAATCCTCGGTTACAGGATGGTACATATTTTGTTATAGTACAGTTTGCATCATCTCATCACAACACTACTACCCCACTAAAGTTTCAAGAATGTTTAAAATGGGTAACTTCAGAATGTGTAGTTTAACACACACTATGACCCTTAAATTGTTTTCATCTTATGTTTCAGTTTGTATAAAATAAATGGCTGCCTTATTTTAACAAGTATTTATGTTCAAATTTTTGTCTATTTTTAAAGGGATATGAGTATTAGGATTTGTAGAAAAAGGGGTTTTGTGCTTGTTTTTCACGAGTTACATTTATGAAATTTTTGCAGACTCAGCAGGATTAATGGCAAGAATAAGTGCTGTCTTTCAGTGTTCTAGTCTTAAATGGTTGCATTTTGTTACCTCCCCTTTCTTATTTCTCTAAAAGTTACTATTGCAGGCAGTACACATACTTCAGACTTTTACTAAGTTGCCAATGAACTTTATATTTCAGCATTTCTTCAGTATTTTTCATCATATTTATTGAATATTTTTTGTGTACATGATACTGTGCAGAGAGCTTTGTGTTCAGTGAACAGGTTTCAGTTCTGATACCATCTCTGTTCAGTGGATAGTGATTGGTTTAGAACACTGTTTTGAAAATTCTTTCGCTATATCCTTATCTGTATCTATGCAGAAAGGAGTCCCTTGGTTGATTAATGCTCTGTGACCTTAAGCATTGGATGAAAGAGTTGGTGGCATAGTTTATTTGTCAACACCCTAAAATAACAAGAGCAGTTACAAATGGGGATCTATGTATACATTCAGATCTTTGATTGACTCCTTCATACATGAAGATTATCTGCATTTGTTTTTTTTAATTCACTTGAAACAGGTTATGACTTTCTATATTGTTTTTCATCCTGACTCTTCTCGGCCAGAGCAGAATTAATCGAATGACTACTGTTGCTACAATAGTCCTTTATTACCTTAATTATAACACTTAATTTATTCATTGTTAATTATTTACTTGCCTGGCTCCACTATGAATAGTGAACTACTTAAAGGGAAGGACAGTATTTTATTCATCTTTATAGCCTCAACACCTCGTTCTATGCTTGATGCTTGTCTTATGTATTCAAAAAGTCAGGTAGTTTTTTTATTTCCTTGATGACCTGGGTGATGTTTTATGAACAGTAAGAAGTTTATTGTTTGAAGATGAAGTGATTAGATCTAAGTCCTAGGATGGCGATGGTATGAATCAAAAGAGGCAGATGCTTCAGATGAGAGTAGACACATCAATGTTTTTGGACTGCAGAGGGACTTGGGGTTTGAGTCTCTATGTCTGAGAGGACGGTACCGTTAGAAAAACAAAGTAGGTAGTTGGGTTTGGGTGGGATGAGTTTGGTTTTAGAGATGCTGAATTTTGATTGAAAATGTTTATTAGGTTTATTTAATTTTAATTAATTAATTTATTTTTACCAGAAAGAAATGTAATTTTAAAAAATTGAAGTATAGTCAGTTTACAATGTTGTATCAATCTCTGGTGTATAGCATAATATTTCAGCCATATATACATATATTTGTTTTCATACTCTTTTTCATTATAGGTTGCTATAAGATATTGAATATAGTTCCCTGTGCTATATGGAAGAAACTTGTTGTTTATCTATTTTAAATATAGTAGTTAGTATCTCCAAATCTCAAACTCCCAATTTATCCCTTCCCTACCCGCTTTACCCCTTGTAACCACAAATTTGTTTTCTATGTCTGTGAGTCTGTTTCTGTTTTATAAATAAGTTCATTTGTGTCTTTTTTTTTTTAGACTCCACATATGAGTGATATCATATGGTATTTTTAGATGGAGGGCTGGAGGTACTATTTGGTAGGCTAGTTGGATCACTTCCTCTTTTATATACTTCATAGCACCCTACTTTATTATAATTGCTTGTTTAGTGTCCATCTTTCCCTTTAGGCTCTAAGCTCCAGTAGGGCAGGGTACATGTCTTGTTCAAAGCTGTATCTTCAATTACAGACACAATTATTGGCACATGGTTGGCACTCAGTAAATAATGGTTCAATGATTTAACTTCTGTGCTGTTACTTGACGTAAACTGCATCCTATATTTTCTCTACATTGCTAATTAGGATTTCTAGTTGTAAGATTACTCAGGTAATTGCTTTTCATAGAAGCATTGGATTTTTAAACTTGAGGAGATCTTAGAAATCTTTGGCAGATCCCCCCCAGTTGGACCCTGGAAAAGTGAAGTCACCTACCCAGAGTCATCGGATCACAACTCCAGATCTAGCTACGTGTAATATTCACTGATGGGTAAAGCCGTAATTATTTATTCAAAGAAATTTGCGTATGTTACTTGTCTTCCCTTGAGTGGGATATGGGGATTTCATGGTATGGCTTTCTCTTCTCTTGTTCAGTCATTTCTCTCCTCTCTGGTACTTTGATTAATGGCCATGGAAAAGAAAGGAGATGAAATTTTATTTCTGCTTGCTGGCAGTATTAAATCTTTTGAGTTTCTAGTGATTAACGTAAGGTTGTGGATAAACCATTGATTTTGTTTCCTCCTTCCTTGTCCATGTTAGCTTGGTGAATCATGTTGATTCTAGGTTTACCTTTATTTGATAGTGTAAGTATTACTTATAACATTCTTATGGGTTACTGGATTTTGTTTAAACAGTATCTTTTGTAAAACAAAGTTTGGAAAAGGTGGATCTGCCTGAGACGACAATCAGAGGATATAATTTTAAAATTCACTGAATTCATTTTTAATGTGTGCATATCGATCATTATATTGAAACAAGCTTCCAGTATTTTATAGCTTCCTATAGAGACAGTACATTTTTGTTTACAATAGAAGCAAATATTTCCTTAATTTGAATTAGATTTTTTTAAAAACATATTCTTACTTGCTTTTTTTTTTGTTTCAGTATCAAGATAAAGAGGAAGTTGTCTTATGGATGAATACTGTTGGGCCCTACCATAATCGCCAAGAGACATACAAGTACTTTTCACTTCCATTCTGTGTGGGGTCAAAAAAAAGTATCAGTCATTACCATGAAACTCTGGGAGAAGCACTCCAAGGAGTTGAATTGGAATTTAGTGGTCTGGATATTAAATTCAAAGGTATGTAAACCTTAATAGTCCTTAAAATAAGAATTAGATTGTAGACCAGGCTTCTCAACTTTGGCATTATTGACATTGGGGCCAGATAATTCTTTTTTTTTTGTAGGAGCATGTCCTGTATATGGTAGCATGTTCAGCAGAGTCCCTGGCCTCTACCCCCTAGATGCCAGTAGCACTCTCCAGTTGTGACAGCCAAAAAAGTCTTCAAACATTGCTAATCGTCCTTGGTTGAGAACCACTGTTCTAGCCTCTAAAAAATGTTTTAGTCTCTAACTTAACGTTTAGAAAGATATAATAGTAACTAAGAAAGATTTTTTTGAATATTTATGAAATAATAAAATAAATAATTACTGTAAAATTGTATTTCCTTAACATATTTACTCCTTAGAAGTGTTTTCTAGTAAAACATTTAGTGGTTGGACATGATGTGGTTGGGGAAAGCCTCCACAGTTTCCTAATGAAGTAATTTCTGGAGGTGAGGAGATGTAATGGGGTATACGGATACTTAAAAATTAGGTGTAAAGCCTCCATGTATTTGTCAGTATTGTATTGATTTATCCTCTCAAGATCTATAGGATAGTGTGGTTTAAAATTTTAAGTCAAAGACTTGTTAAAATTGAAGAAAATCTGCCTTACCTATTTATTATGCAGTTAACTATTTGTATCAGTTCCTGTGAGTGTGTTTATACTTTTTATTTTTCTGTGTGGAGTTTGTCAGAGTGTGTATTTCCTGCATAGACATTTTTAACTTGATGAGCAGAAGCCTGAGGAACTGAATTTTTAGGATCTTTGTCTTTATTTTTGAATAGAGCATGGATCTTGTAATCAGAAGCTTTGAATTTTAATCCTATTTCTTTTACTATATTGATTTTAGTAAAGTTGTTTACGCCAATGTTGACTTCAGTGTCTACATGTATAAAATGAACAGTAACTAACCTCTGGTATTTTTAGTTTTTTGGGAGGAGAATGTGAAATGAAATATTTTAAAGATAATATTTTGAAGATAATGTTTAACTTTGATTTGTTAAATTTTATTCTTATTTTTAGGGTTTTTTTATTACTGTTGTTGTTAATAGGTATACATATTTACAGCCCTTTTTCCCCCTATAATATTCCTTGGAACTTAATTATAAAATTAAGTTGTAAATTTAAGCCACAGTGACCTGGCCTATATAAGTTTATGAATTATTGTAAACATGCCCTGAGGCTTGTTTTAATTTAATAAGATGATTTAAATATTTAATCACACATAAAGAGAAAACTTAGATTAGAGTATGTGATTTTTGAGAACCTCAATACTACATTTATTCACATACTGTCTCTCCTTTCCCATATTTGGCATACGTTTCTAGTTTAGTAAGGAACCAGGGAGAGAGAATAGGTAAAAACCTTGAGTCTTGCTTTGCCACTATGGACAGATTTCATCACCTTTTGAAATCCTCACTCTCATTTACTAAAAAAGAGTACTCATTCAGCTGTCTTAACCATTCTTCTTTTATCAGTTCTTTGAGGCTGAGATAGGAAAGATTATTTAGATAGAAAAGTGTGGTTTTCATGAGCTGTAAAAGTGATTAATTTTCCTTTCGCATTAAACACCTTTAGATGAAAATCAGAACTAGACAGGTGTTACTTTCTAAGAGTTGGAGCTTCCTTGGAGTCTTGCCAACTCTGCACTCCAGCACGGATGTGCTGCTAACGGACCTGCCAAATTAAGTGGTCCAGATGAAATAGTAAATGCTGATTAGATTTCTCCTTCTACTGTAGCCCCTAGCTTATCCTGTTCAAAGACAAAGTTGACTATGCTTTAAAAAGTGTTTTGTGAGATTTCCTGGTTATTATTTGTAGTAGCATGGAATTTTAAAGGTGGGATCCACCTTAGAGATTGTGTCATTTCTAACGAGTCACCTTAGTCAAAGCCAAAGATGAAATGACTTACCCAAGAAACATCATAGCATACTGATAATGTCATGGAAACTTAAACTCTCTGTATGTGAACTGTAGAAATAGTTACATTGTTAATCTTTCATCCTTTAAATATTTGATTTTTAAAGGTTCTTCTGAAGGCAAATATATTCAAATAAAATAAAATTTTGGAAGTTCTGTGAAACTAGAAAAACTATATATATTATATATATATAAATACACACTGACACGTGCATACAAAAACACCTTTTTAAAATCTAGTAGATTCTGTCAAGCTAAATGGATATTGTTTCATAAAATGAAGGTCACTAAATAGACGATTTTAGGGAACAATGATAGTTTTAAATCTAATGTAGGATGCCTCTCTTTTGTGATTTTATGCACAACTTTTTTTTTTCTTCCTGATAGTCTTCATACTACCACTAGACAAAATGCTACATTGAGAACATTTAGACATCATTGGAGAGAGAAGGGCAGGCTTAAGTTGGATATCCTTGAACCAGACCTGAATTCATTACCCTTTAATTTTTCAAGGTACCTCTTAGAATCTTGGCCATCGTGGAGTGGAAAGAACACATGCTTTAGAGTCAGAGAGACTTGATGCATCTCAGCTCTACCTACCTGTATAGTCAAGGACAAATTATTCAGCCTCTCTGATCTCATTTTCCTCATCCATGAAATAAGGGAAATAATAGCCACTTGATAGAATTGTCAGATTTAAATGACATAATGCATATAGATCATTCATCAAAGTTCCTGATAGTTTACATTAAAAAAATGGTCATTGTGAATACTAATAGCACATAGTATGCGGCTATGCTTCCAACTTGATTTTGCGTTAGCAGTTATAAAGCTGCTGCACTGGTCTGCTGGGTATTTTAGTTAGTTCTGCTAGGGCAGGGACATTCTTGTTCCCTATTGGATTCTTAGCTGATAAGACATAGTGAACTCTTAATAAATAGTCTGGCACCTGGAGGGTTTGTGCCTATTTGTTCCTTATGATAATTGGTTCATTCTGATCATTAGATGATCTGGAATAGCAGTTCCTAAACAGTTTCCTTCCTCTCATGTGAGAATTCTAGCAGTGTAACGAAGGGTGTTACTTGTTGAAAAACTGTTGACTTCTAGAGGATTCCTCCCCTCATTTATTTTATTGATCTTCCCTTGAATTTTTCTTCCTTAAATATCCCAACTTAACAGAGGGGTAAAATTATTTTGTTAGTATTTCTTCTACTTCTCAAGAGTGAAATGGTAAGGTGAGAATACTGCATTTAGGGAGCTATGCTAAGGGCTGCTTGGAGCTTTATGTATTTCTAGTTCACAGATTCTCAGTCTTGACTGTTTTCAACCACAGAATAAGCTTATGAGATGTATTATGCCAGTTTTCCAGATGAGGAAGTTGGTGCCCAGAGGTTAAGTAACTTGTCCAAAGATTCACAGGTGGAAAGCAGTGGAGTGAGGATTTGAACCCTGGCAGCCCAGCACTAGAGTTTGAGCTCCTAACCACTATGCAGAATTCCTCTAGAGGTATCTGCCTGAGTGGTAAAGCCTGAATACTAGAGGGAAGGGAAAGGGCTTGAGAGGGAGCAGCTCCTTTCTTCCAGTCTAAAGATTTTTATTTAAGATAACCCCCGCCCCTGTGTTCAGTCCCTGGGTTCTACTGTTCCTGCTCTTCCTGATTCTTGAGCCCTCTGCTGAAGTTCTCTAGGGGCAGTGTCTCTGGTCTACTGCAGGGGGAAGTAGCGGGTATTCATCTAGCAGTGTGATGGGTGGAGGAGGGGACCTGGGCATCCAGTCCCTCCGCAAGCATATTTTTATACGATCCCCCTATGTGTTCAGCCCTACGTCTGTCCTCTACCTCTTGACATCTGTGGTGCCTCCAAGTCCTGAGTGTCTCCCATGTTCTGTGACAACAATCCCCTCCCTGCTGCTATGGTTTCCTCTGCCTTATTAGTCATTTGCCATTTCCATTTGTTTTCCATTTCCCCAAAATTTGTTGAAATCTTTTTTCACTGTCTTCTTGTCCTCATGCACCTCCATCCTTTTTGTTCCATTATTGACATTTTAATGGAGTTTCAAGAGGGAAGAGACACTTGTGGTTAATCTACCTTGTTTAACTGGAAGTCTGGGAAATTGATGCAATATTTTGTCCTGTTGGTTTCAAGCATGTTTTAGGCAGACCAAATAATATGAATCTTGTACTGAATTGTGTCTAGGTATTTGAGTTCTTGGTACTAGCAATTGCTTAAACTTTATGCTAACTGCAAATTTAACAAGTGTGATTTTTTTTATAAATTCTTATTCAAACTGTTGATAACATTGTTCTCCTCAGATTGACATGCCTTTTTTGTTTTCAAAGGAATGTATGTGTATATATTTTTCTGATTGTAACAATGATATAGAATCAATGTACAAAATTTAGAAACTACAGAAATGTAAAGAAGAATTTAAAAATCACCTGGATATAAATAGCAGTAATATTTTCTCTCTGACTTTTTTTACATTCATCCACATTATTTAAAATTTTTTAAAATTGGGTTCATGTTATATGTATTTTTGAAAATATTTAATGAGCACTTGTATAGTGTTTATTATGTGCTTAATACTGTTTTAAGCACTTGCTAGCTCATTTAATAAGTTATGTATAAATTAGTTTTTACTCCTCTTTTTTCTTAACATCTTATGAGCTTGTCCTCACATTGTTAATTACTCTTTTTAAAATGTGTTTGTGTAGTATTCTATAACTCGATATTATAATTTCCCCCCATTTTGCAATTACAAGATACTCCTTATTTTCTTTCCTTCTTCCTTCCTTGCCTTTCTCTCTTTTTTTCCCCTATTAGAAATAACAATGCATTTAGCTATCCTAGCATAGAAGTATTTTGATGCATCTCTGAATCTTTTATTAGGATAAATTCTTCGAAGTAGAATTACTGAATCAAAGGTTCTAAACATTTTTAAGGCAGTTCTTGGTACCTGTTGCCAAATAGTCATCTAGAAAAAATTGTACCATTTATACTGCCAGTCAGGTTTGTCAGTTAATCAATACTGTTTATGTATATGGTTGATTAATTGATTGTGAATGTATCAGTTTTTCTAGTTAAAAAAAATTCATTCAGCAGTTTTTGAGTGCTTACTGTATTCCAGAGCCCTGTGGTAGGCTCTGGGCATACAGCTGAACCAGAAGCTCTGGCTTCCGGATTCTATATGGGCCCTCTGAAGTTGTACCTTTAATTTTGTGGGAATGTGCATTTGGGGGGGCAAGGGAGATAATCACTTTCACTGGATTCTCAAAGGGATGTGTGGCCCAAGAAATCTTAACACTGCCTGTGAATACATTGGCACTTTTAGTCCTTAACTCTGGGAAGGAGATAGCATAGATGTTATCTGTTCTATAGTTGACAGATGTTATCTGTTCCACAGTTGAGGAGCACAAGATTCCCAGAGGTTAAGTGACTTGCTTTTATTCACATAGTAAGTTGTGGAACCCAGGCTAAAACTCAAGTCTGTGCCCATTTTTCTGTCAGTCTGTCTGTAGTGACTTCGTGAGGAACTTTACCAACTGCTACTGAATTTAAGGTAGAGTATTTCTAGTTTTCCGATTTAGAAAGACTATCAAAAGAGAAAGTAAATGTTCTTAGAAAACTCATGAACAATTATCACATTGTTTTTTCAGTGCTTTCACTGTCTATTCAGTTATTAGTCTGGAGAGTTGTTGAGAATTGATGACAGACTTACTGATATGTAGTTTCCATATGCCTTCTGTTTGAAACATCAGTGCTGATGTTTGCTGCTTTTTAACTTTGGTTTTGTATAGCATTTGTTAGACCCTAGTTGCGTCCTCTTCCGGATTCACAGATGTATATTTCGTCTGAGAAGGGTATTCCCTACTGTAATTTTAAAGCAGTGATTTGTGGTCATAGATTTTTCAGATTGTTTTCCAGTCCTGTAGAATGCTGAAGAGTGATCTGGCATATTCAGACACATTACACGCGTTATCTTCAAAGCGGCTCCCTCCTGAGAGAAATTACTGTTTCAATTGAGCAACCAAGCCCTTCAATTATTTGTGATGTTTGTGTTTGCTTACATGCCTGCAAGAGGAATTGCATTAAAATGTGACCAATCAAGGTCCGTATTATAGCCTGCCATAATGATGTTTTCCCTTTTGCCACAACATTTCTTTTCTAGATTTTGTATCAGTGAAACATACTCTTCAAGACTTCTTTGTTAATCCTTCTGAGATACTCTGCTCAGAAATTTCATTTGTTTATATTGACGTTTTTCTCCTTACACACACGTGTGCGCGCACACTCACACACCCCTTTCACACACAGATGCATGTATGTGAACATACTCAAATATACTTAGTGATTTCCTTTGCCAAATAAATGGAAAATCATGCTCCTAAAATTTGTTAAAATTTTATGTTTGTTTAATGCCTGCTCTGTGCAGCGTACTGAAACAGGCATAGCTGGGGCTAAAAAGGATATAATCAGTTACAGACATAGTCTCAAGCTGATGGTCTTTTTGAGGAGCTGAGATACTGGTATGAGGGTATAAGTGGTGTAGGCCTAGGTGTCATAGGTATGGAGAGAAAGCCATGGGACTTGGGAGAAGGAGACAGGCTGGGGGTTTGGGAGGTGTGAGGGTGGGGGAATCAGGGATTATTCTGGGGGACTGGGAGAGAGATGGGAAAGATTCTAGGATGGACATAGGAGGTGGAGTTTGCCACACAAACAAAAAAAATCCAGAGGCCAAGGGAGTACAGGTGTGTGGGAACCGCAGGTAGTTTGGGTAGAGTGTATGGAGAGAGGATGCTAAATAGTTGGGAAAGAGAGAGAGGAGCTAAAGTTCAGACTGTGAGGAATCTTTTAAAAGCTTTATACAGATGAAAGTCATATTGTATATTGCAGAGCTTCGTTTGTGAAGCTACTGCATTGTTGATGACAATTACCAGGGAATGTCTGATTGTAACAGCACAGAATTTGGTGGCTTTGCAGAGGTAGCTATAAGTTCTCCTACAGCCACTGTAGCCCTTTGTTGCTGCTCAAACTGGACCTTCCTTTGGTTCTCACTAACCCTCTGTAGCTGTCGTTGCTTGCTGTCCTTGGCACATGAGCACAATCCGTGGACATCCCATTTGAGGACCTCTTGCTGCCAGTTCTCCTGGCAGTAATTTCTGTGTTAACTCTCCCTTTCTTCTGATCAGCTGCAGTTTTTGCCATTATGAAAATTCTAAATTTCTTGCTGCCTAAAAAGGACCTAGAGAGAAAGAAAATTTGTGTAGGAGCCATTGTTGTTGGATACAAAGCAATTTTCTTCTCTCACTTTGAGTGTGAGAGTATTTTCCTGTCCCTTTTTTTTATGGGAGTTGTTTCCAGTCATCTTTGGTTTTGTCTTTTTGGGGTACCCACTCTAGGCTGAGCTGTGAAAAGGGGAAGCTGTCCTTTCTCTTGAGGCTTAGGGAGACATGGTGCAGGTGTCTGGAGTTTCAACTCAGATTGATATTTATCATAGAAATAATATTATAGATGGCTATTGATTATGGTTCAGCTGCAATTTTTGTTTAAGATGTTTTAATCAATATTTAAGAAATTGAACATTGTTTCTTAGGGGAAGTTGCATTTTATGTTCTAAATAACCAATATTATAGTACAGGAGAACTTAAAAACAAACAACTGTGCTTTCTTTTTTTAAGATTGGTTTCTCTTTTCCCTAATTGCTTAAGTAATACACAAAAATGATTTAATCCTTTTTGATGACCATCAAGTGTTTGCAGGTTTTTTGGATTTTGTTTTCTTTAGAAACTAATGATCCTAAGCATGTTTTTGAAAAGTTTATAAGTTAGAGACCATCTGAACAGGATTTTCAGATAGCAGTATTTTTAAAAGTAGTCAAAAGTAGAAACGACTCATCTCCAGGGAACTTCCAGGTGATTTATAAACAGTGACTCCTGCTAGAATAGAGGTTTGCCTTTTAATCTTCCGAATTATGAAGAGTCACTGGGATTCCTCATAGAATCTGTGACCTCTAGTGACTTGTATCTCCAGGAATGTTCAAATGAGTATTTATCTCCAGGATCTTATAGCTTGAAACTGTTAGCTCTATTTAGTATCATATTTTTGAGTTTTTATATAAAGTGAAAACTTTCCTTTGTGTTTTAAGCTTTTTCATTTTTGTTTTTTAAATCAATTTATTCATTTTAAGGTTACTTTGTAAATGTTCTTATATAATTTTCTTTATATAAGCAATGATTTCTTAGTAAAATAATCTTTGAAAATAAAAATGATTAAATTTCTTTTATTGTGAAAAATCTTAAACATGCACAAAAAAGGAAAGAATTGTAAAATGAATCCCCACATATTTATCACCCAGATTCAGCTATTATGAATGGAAATTTTAAATTCAGGAATTATTGTGTCTTTTTGTGTTATTTTTCCTATAACTATTTTTCAAACCAGTGTGCTAATTTGAAATTTTTATTTTATGCAGATGATGTGATGCCAGCCACTTACTGTGAAATTGACTTAGATAAAGAAAAGAGAGATGCATTTGTGTATGCTATCAAAAATCACTACTGGTACCAGATGTACATAGATGACTTACCAATATGGGGTAAGTATTGTAGTAAGTATTGTATGTTATATTTAAAGTTTGAGAAACATTTCCATAATAAATAAGATTTATGTAATCATTCTGTTAAGGTGATTGTACACTAAATTGGTAAGTGTGTTTTCACTATTTTCCACAGAATGATTTTAACATCATTTTTATGGTTTCTTGTTACTTAAAGGGACTTTTGACATTGTCAAACCTTACATGAAAATCCCTCAAAATACAACTTTTATACACTATAGCTTTTCAGATTCAAGGGAGTAAAAGATGCTTTGAACAATCTGAGACATCTTTCCTTCCCCCATTTTTCTCGTATCTAATTCTGACTTATTTTATCAAAAACAATCAAAGGGACTGAATACAATTTTGAAGTTTTATTCTGTGTTTCTCTCATGTGGAACTGTGGTAGTATGGTTTTTAGATATAGCAGTCTCCTGAATGACTTATTGTGCTAGTTCTTACGTCATTGTCCCAAACTTTATTATGTTTAAAGTTTTTAAAATATTTTGTTTTTTATATTGATGTTTTATGTTCTTGTTCACCCATATTAATGGAGAAGAGCTATGGAATGGTTCATACAAACTTATGCGTAATCCAAACATCGTTTGTGCTGAATTTGATTAAATTATTTAATGTGCAAAGCACAGCCAGTATGTTTGATTACATTTTTCTCTTAGTGGCTTTTTGTTGTTGTTTGTTTTTTGGCCTTTGGACACTTGTTCTTCTATGTAATTAATATTATAATTCTTAAAATTATTAGGAGACTATATTAATGAGCAGCAAACTGAAAGACTGAACATACCAGCTCGGAGTTTAATGTGGTACTAAAATGAAGTTTATAAGAAAGTTAATCTTAAGATATAATTGTATGCATCATCATTACTGTGTTGCATGTTAATTAGGTATAAATAGTAAGCATTTCATATGGATGACTGTAATTAGTATAATAGACACTTCTGTGATCAGCTCTGAGGGTAGCAGGAAGATGTGCAGATTATTCACTGAAGATTTCTGAGTCTGTCGTTCAGGAGAACCCTTTAATCTGGGTTTCCCCTTGTTTTTGATGAAAGAGCAAGTTCCTCTCCTATTTTTTTTTTGCATTGCTTATGGGTTTCTTGTCTGGAAACTTAGGTTTTTTCGGTCATTTCTGTGGGCCTCCTTAGCAACATGGCAACCGTGCTTTCCTGTTTTAACATAAATCTTTTTTAGCTCTGGGTTTCTGCCATGTTTAGGGCAGATACTTTTGGATATCCTATAATGTCTGAACCTTATCAGAAAAAAAAGTCCTTATTTGGCTTTTCTTGGGATAAAGATTTTAGATTCTTTTAACAGTCCCTTAGAGAATTCCTTCTTATTTGATGTAACTGTGTCTCCACCCTCAGAGTTTTCAGAGTAGATAGGTAAATAAACTTTGATGAAATGAATTATTAGAATGATTTCATTTTCCCTCTGCTACCCCAAACAAAATAAAACTGTATTCCTTGAACTTGTACCAATTAGAGAGAAGAACTTTGGTTAATAATCAACTAATTCTTAATAAGAAATGACCTTTTTTTCCCTTAATACTTTAATGAATTGCATTAACCAGAGAGGGAAGGCCCAATGAGTAACTGTTAGAGCTGAAGGCTCCAGAGAACATAGAGACTTGGGTAGGTAACACTGGGTAAATAGCTGACAGTATGAGGGCACAGGAGATAGGTCCTCAGCTGCTACCTTCTCCCCTGCCTGGGTCTTCCCCTTCCAGTATCTCAGATTGGGATCAAAATGGTCATTTTAACTGTTGCCTTATTACTGTTTATCGTCAACACTCCTTTCATTTCAGTGACTTCCCAGGGATAGATCTAGTTTTTGAGATATTAAGAGGAGGTATTTTAAGTTTTTGTATCCGCTATACACATATGTGCAGCTTATTAAGAATGGATTGATCATAGGTTATGAAAGAAAGTACTGGACTGGGCATCTGGTGAACTTGGCTTTAATTTTAGTTTGATCACTGAACTAGGGGCCCTGCCAGATGGTGATATAGTGCTTCCCTGAAATTTTGACATATTAGGGAATATACACATACTGTTACAATGAGGGTGACACTAATGACAAAGCATGAACTTTGAGGACCAAATTACTGGTAGGTTATACTGAGCTGTTCATCACTTTTTTACCATGGTGTGGAAGTGGTTGTGTTTGCCAAATAGTTAAGAAAGAGTAGACGTCCAGCCTGCACCTTTCATTGTTATAACCATGAGAAATAGTGGTAATATTGCTGTTTTATAAAAACACTTTTCAATGAGCTTTTAGCTTCTAATGTATTTTAAATATTAAGTGATATTGCATACCTTGTATGAAGTGTTATTTCTTTCATAGGTATTGTTGGTGAAGCAGATGAAAATGGAGAAGATTATTATCTTTGGACCTACAAAAAACTTGAAATAGGTTTTAATGGAAATCGAATTGTTGATGTTAATCTAACTAGTGAAGGAAAGGTGAAACTGGTTCCTAATACTAAAATCCAGATGTCGTATTCAGTAAGTATTAAAATAATTGTATGCAGGAAGAAGTGTTGTGACCTAATTTCAGCAATTAAGTGTGTTTTACAACTTTAATAAATGAAAATGCAGCTTGAAATGGGACATAACAGAATATTATTAAAATATGTTTCCTCAGTGTATGTAAGTAAATCTCCTAAAAGCAGGGAGATTAATTTCAGGTCAGTAGTGTTAGATACCAGTTACATATTTGCAGGACCTACCGTTTGCTTCAGCAGAGTTTACCGTTACAACCGGGCAGTTAGCTAACCCAGCTGTGTGTTTTCATGGTTACTTTTTAGATTGCAGTACTCCTTTTTTCTCTTTTCTTTTTGCTGTTACAGATAAGAAATGATGCTATATTGAAAATTGCTGGGTGAGAATAGTTTACCATATTTTGCTGTATCCGTTGGAATAAGATACTCCTGCAGAGTTAGAGCTTGTCGGAGCCCTTTGCAACTAACAAGTTGATTCAGTTCTGTTAGAATTAAAAATAGTGGAAAGAAGAGAAATCCTTTGTAGGCAGCCTTTTTCTTTGCCATTTTTTTCCCCTGGTAACTGGAATAAGTCCATTGCTAGTAGCCAGTTTTGAAAGTTTTTCAAGCTTTGTGCATATGTACCTAGAGCAAATAATATTTGCATAACTGTTTATAAAGAAATGTGATCATTTTAATAAAACTAATGTAATCTAAAGACAGAGATGCACAGATTCTTATTTTAAATTGGTCTAATTGAGTTCTTATTACATCTGGTCAGAGTATGTAAGTCGGTAGCAGTTAATAGTCTTGAAAACTGAAATGATCCCTCTAAATAAAGTCATAGTTTTGTTAATACACAGCGAGGAAGGTTGGTTAGTTTTTTATCATATATTTCAGCTTCTCAAATTGGTAGTAACTTTCTACCATTTCTCTAGTTTCTTCTTCTAAGTGTGTAAATCTTTTTATATTTGCTCAGTTTTGTTATCAGATTATTGATTACTGACCTTGATTTTCAAATGAAAAAAAAAATTTTTTCAGGTAAAATGGAAAAAGTCAGATGTAAAATTTGAAGATCGATTTGACAAATATCTTGATCCATCCTTTTTTCAACACAGGGTAGGTAAATTGTGTATTTTAAGACATTCAGTATGTGCTTCAATCAATTAAACATGAGCATATGCCATATATACATATTGGACACTGTGCTGGGGCTGTGGATTTCAAAGATTTAACTAATGGTGATTTCAAGTGTGAGCTCAGAGTCATGAAAGTAGTAGAGGGTTTTAGAGGAGCAGTCAGAATCTCCCTTTATCATGCCTGGTTTAAACCAATGAAGAGATACACAAGAAGAAAACATACGGGAAGCCAAGATATTACTTTTATTACTAATAAGACTAGTGTTGGAGAATGTGGCTTTTATCTGTGGTCAGGTGGGCTTCTTAATATTGAAACTCGGAATTGGACAAACTAACATACTCAGACATTGCTGAACTATTTCAAGCTTTCCTACTGGGCACCTGTGCTTGTAAAAATTATAGTGTGGAGAAACAGAGCAGAATGTGTGCATCCACTAGGAGGAAATGAATAGAAGAGTGGAGTGAGATCAGGAGTTTCTGCTAGGAGAAATCCTCCCACATATAAAGAAACACCAAGAATGAGAAGAAATGTCTCTCACCCCACCACCAACAGAGACACACTGGATCTCAGGTCCTGAGTCTAGTAGCATTGCTGCTGGTTTTGTACAGATAGCTTTGGTTCTCTTTAGCAGGAAACATTTTATTTTGGTGGTTCCCTCCTTGAAGGATGGAGATGAAAAGACTACAGGATAGAAGGAGACATACCCATTCTTCTGACTTTCTTCTTGACTTGCCTCTTCTCTTTTGATATAATCTTGTGGACTGAAATTCTGAAGTTTATTTATCACCAATTCTTGAGATGGCTTACAAAGTTTTCTGGTCTCAGATTTATATCATTGCAGCCAGGTTCTACCCTTAGACTCCACCAGAATCTATTACTACTACTAATCTTCCACTGGGTCCTAGGAGAAAAAAATTAAGCTATTTGGGGTTTGGTCCTTACTGAAAGATTTAGTGTCCTGGAGTTAAAATTTCCTCCCCCACAGTTACTCCTCCACTCCTCCACATGTTCTCCTCAGATTTAGTGCTCAGGCAGTCCTAAACGTGACAGTCCTGTTAAAAGTATAGGCACAAATAACTTCAAATAACGTTTGAGAATATGAGGGCTCTCAACTGACATTTCCTACTAGAACACCTCGATCTACCTTGTTTCTATCCCAGAGGGTGTTGACAACTTGGAAGAAAGGCTGCCTTTTGGCATTTGCACAAGTAGAACAGTATACTATATATATTTTTTCAACAAATATTAATTAATTGAACACCTGCTGTGTGTCAAGCACTGTACTCAGCAAGTGAAATACATAAGAGAATGAAAATCAGAGATCCATGCCCTCTTGGAGCTTACATTCTAGTCGGGGAGACATGCAGTAAACATAATAACTAAAATGTATAGTGTGTTCCAGGATGTGTACATCAAAAAAGAGAAAATAGAACCGTGGGGCAGGAGTACCATGAGTGGGGAAAGTTGTTTTGAGTATGGGTGGTCAGGGTAAGCCTCTGAGATGGACTTGTGAGCAAAAGCTTGAAGGAGTTGAAGGAAGTAAGTAATGTGAGTATCTGAGGGAAGAGTATTCCAGACAGAAGCAATACCATTGAAAGACCTGTTGGGTGGGAAATTGCTTGGGGTGCTTGAGGAGTAACAAGGAGGCCAGTGTGGCTGGAGCAGAGCAAGGGGGTGAGCAGTAGGGAATGAAGTCAGAGAGGCAGCAGTAGCCAGATCATCCATGGCTGCTGTAGGACTTTGAATGAATGCAAAGAGGGGCATGATAGTGTTTTCAGCAGGGTATTGATGGATCTGACTTGTGTTTAAACAGGATCATTCAGGTTTTTATGTTGAAAATAGTTTGTGTTGGGTAAGGGTTGAAGCAGGGATATCACTGGAGAGGCTATTGCAGCAGTCCAGAGAAGAAGTTAAAGTGGCTCAGACCAACGTGTAGCAGTGAAGGTGGTGAGAAGATGCCAGATTGTGAATACATTTTGGGGGTAGAGCCAGCAAGATTTCCTGATGGATAGAAAGATAAAGAAGGTTTGAGAAAAACTCCAGAGTTTTTGGCCTGAGCACCTGTTAGAGTGGAGCTGCCATCAGTGGGGCAGAAAAGCTGTATTTGGAGATTTGGAGAAGATCAGAGTGCAGTATGGGACATGTTAGTTTTGAAGTGTCTGTGAGACATCTGAATGGAGACACTGACCAGCTAGTTGGATATATCAACCTGGAGTTCAGGAGAAAGGCCTGGGCTAGAGTTATAAATTTTAGATCTATTAGCATATAAATGGTTTTTAAAGCAATGAGACTGGATACAATTACCAAGGAAGAGTATGTAGAAATAGAAGAGGACTAAGGACTGAGCCCTGGGGTGCAGAAGTATAAATTTAGAAAGAAAAGGAAAAACCAGCTAAGAGCTCTGAGGAGATATTGGTAAGGTATGAGGGGAAAAGAAGATTGTATGATATCCTGGAAGCCAAGAAAGAGAGTCTGGTGTGGAAGAGAGAAAGATTAGTTCTGAATGGCTGCTGATCAACAACAACAATTGGATCAAGTAAGGTGAGTATTGAATGTGACTGTTGATTCATCTAGAGTCATTAGTGAGCTTGACAAAGATCAGTTTTGGTGTAGTGGTGGGGCGCAATCTGAGCAGAGCTGGATGAGAGAGAATGGGAGGAGAGGAACTGGACGCAGCAAGCTTGGCTCCTAAAGGGAGCACAGAAACAGTTGTGTAGCTGGTAAGAAAGATGGAGTCAGGAGGGTGGTTTTTGCTTTTGTTTTTTGTTTTTTGGATATATAAGAAAAACATACTTGTATGTTGATGGGGTTCAGTAGAGAGGGCAAAACTGATGATGCAGGAGATGGGAAAATGACTGAAGCATTTTCCTTAGGTAGGCAGTGGGGGATGGGATCTGCTGTACAAGTGCTGGGGTTGTTTCTAATACATGGCTGCAAGCACTGGCCTAGGAGCTAGGAATACAAATTGTCTCTACCTCTGACTGTAACCTTGATCGGATGACTCCGTTCGTTAGCTTCCCCTTAGTAGTGAAGCAGGAATAGTACTACCTTGCAGAGTTGTTGTGAAATTCCATTTGACAGTGTTTATAAAGCACCTGGTTCAGTGTCTCCAGGAAGAGGTGGCACGTTATCTCCACTGTTCTAAAATGTATGACTAACTTGGGGTGCTGCTTTAGGATTAGCAACACTAGGGGGTGCTGGAGTCAGCAGTTCGTAGGGCTAGTAACCCCTCTGTGACAACTGAGTTCTGTATTCTTTTTAAGAATATTTCCCTTGGTTAATAATTTTAGAATCATTCAGCATTTTATAATTTTGGTGGAAAAAGGAATATTATAAAATGTCAGGTTATTAGTAGTACATTATAATATGTATTAAAGTTTATATCTTAGATTAGAAAATAGCAGAGAGCTTTGCTAGAAATTTTAACATTTTAGGTCTTTCTTATTACTAAATAGTAACTATGAAACTTTTCAAAAATTTGATAAATTGAAAAAAGACATGAGTCATATATATGTATTTTTCTTTCTTGTCCTTTTCTAGGTCATCAATTTCCCAGGGTAGAAACAAAGTCAAATCTTTAGAAAAGCCTATTATTACAGACTGCTTTTATAAGTCTTAAATGATACTTTTGTGATAAATTTAAATTTATTTAACCCGGTTTTGCAAATATTTCTAAATATAATGCATTCATTATTTCCTTTATAATTTCAGTAGGTACAGTAAATAAATTGTTGAATGAAGGAAGAAGTAATCTTATGAAGAGGCAGAGGTAATTGACTGCCTCCTGTTTTTCAGGGAGAGGCATAGTTTCTCATTTGCCTGAAACCTCAGGGTGGGTAGCGGAGCCAGGACTGCCCTTCACCCTAGTGTACATACTCAGCATGTTAGCCTGAGTTAAAATCTGTCCTAATTGTACATGACAGCGTATCCCTCATGTTAAATATTCTATATGTATCTGTAGAAGTTTAGAGCAGGAATATATCTTTGAATAATTAGAATATGTGGATGAGAGATTTTATGGAGGAGAATTTTTGGAATTGGGCTTTAAACCATAGGTGGACTTTACAAAGGTGGATAGAAGTAGATCCCATGTGAACAGAAATAAGGAGAAGGATACAAAAGTAGAAGTGAGTAAGCTGTACTTTTGGGTCAGTGAGGAAGGGTATGCCTGATTGGAATATAAGAAAGAGTGGAAAGGTTGGCTAAATAAGGTGAGGTGGCCATCTTACAGGGGTAAGGGGTACAGAGTGTTAGGGAAGATAGTTTAGATTTGATGTGTGAGAAAATAGGGAAGGTTGCTGTAAGTTTTAGAATAAAGAAGTGGTATATAAACATGATATTTCAGAAAGAATTGCTGGGTAAGTTTTTACAGGATAGATTGAAAGGAAGGGGAGAGACCAAAACTAAAGGCCAACTAGGAGGCCATTAGAGCTCTCAGGTGTGAGGTGACGGCACAGGAACGGAGAGGGAGGGAGAGATACTAGAGACATTTTGAAGGAAAATAAAAGTTTCATAATTATTACCTAGGAAAGATTAAGGAGAAGGAAGAGCCAGAGGTAATTCTAAATTTTCAAAGCTATATGTTTGTACCATTAGCAGATGTTAGAAATCAGAAGTGTTCTACGTGAGGCAGAAAGTGTGAGTTTACTTTCGGGCAGCCTACGTCTGAAAGTCCAGTAAGACATTCAGGTGGAAATGATCATCCTGAGCAAAGGTCTGAAACATGAATGAGAGGGCTAGAGACTTGGGGAGGGTTGGAGGTCGGGGGCACAAGGTGTTACCATCATCAGTGGCGCTAGTTAAAAGTTCTGAGAGCCTGAAGAAGTCATAGCGAGTACCAGGACTGGAGCTTTTGGGAAAGTTCAGACGGTGGGGTGAGCAGGTGTTGAGGATGAAAGAGGGAAGCAGCAGTGAAGGAGAGTGGCAGGGAGAGCGAGGAGCAGGCACGTAATTGATGACTGAGTCAGTTTGGAAATTCATTGCAGGCCTTGGAGAGAAATTTTGTGGGGCAAAGTGAGATCGTATTTGTGTTTAAGTGTAAGTGAGGGAAGAAGCAGGGCATGTCTCCTTGTTTGAAAGGTATCAGCATTGGAAGGAGAGAGGTAAGAAGATTGAGAATGAGGGGACAAAAGATCATGCAGACACTTTATTTTTTTATATAGTTTTGCAAATATTTATTCTAAAACACTAGGAGAAAAATGACACACATTTTTTACATCATGAACACAATTATGTAAAAGTGTCTAGAGAAGATGACTGGAAGGAAGTATATAAAAATAGTGAAATAGAAGTGTTTTTTCTTCTATACTAGTATTATTATCTAAGTTTTTTCACAGTTCAGTATTATTTTGTAAATATATATAAAATGCATTTTATTTTAAAAATGTAGGTTTAATTCTTTAATTACCTTTTTTCAATTTAAATATCTTCTCAAGGTAACTTGTTTTCCTGTTTTGATCCTTTTGCTTTTGTGAGATCAAACAAACACTTTAAAAGTTATGGTGATGACAACTTTAAAATTTTTTCAGTGTTTTATTATGTGCCAGACATTATGCTGTATGCCTTACATTTATTATCTTCTTTACATCACATAACAACCTGGGGAGTAATACTGTTGTAAGTATCTACTAGGGACTTTTGGAGATGGCTGATGTTGGAGAAAGATGTAAGGCTGGGGATACAAAATGAGAGGGGGAGAAATACCTCAAGGAGTGAAAGGACTAGAGCCTAGTGGGGAGATTGAGTTAAGAGGAGAAACAGCTTCTGGGAGATTGATAGAGGAATGAAAGGCTAGGAGAATAAATGCAGAGAAATAAATGAAATTGAGAAGAATTTTGGAGCTTTCCTTAAGGAAATTTTGGAAATTAAAATATAAAGGAATTGCTGGACAGTGCCACAGACATAGTTGAAGTCAGATGCACTGAATCTGGACATAATTTTGTGACAAATGTGTGGGTGAAATCAAAGTCAAGAGCTTTGGCGACATTGAGAAACTGAGGGGTACCTCAGTGTTCTCTGGACCTGGATAGCTGATTTGGAGAGGAGTCACTCTTCAAATCATGGTGATGATGGTGACACGGTGGAGAGGATGGAATGTAAGCAGTGAAGCAAATCATTCAGGAAGGTGGCCTAAGTCCATGGCAGCTGACTCTGATGGGTTAGTCTTGGTATTTCAAGGAGGTTTTCAGGTTGTTGCTCAGTTAGAGGGAAGGAAACTAATGTTTATTGAGTATTTACAGCTCTGTGCCATGCATAGTGCCCATATGTCTTATATATGTTATTAAACCATACAAATCACTTAAAAGATAGTATTATTTCCTTCATTTTTGATATAAGAAAACTGGGGTCATATAGCTAGAAATGGCAGAGCCTGTGTTAAAAACCAATGCCTGTTTGATTTTAAAACCTATGTTCTTTCTCTGTAATGCTAAATAGCATATTTTGTGTGGCCAATTTGTACTTTATTTGTACAATAAACTTGATTGTGAAAATCAGTTTAAACAATATCATTTTTCATGCATCTGAAGCTTACTATAAAGAAAGCCAGTCTCTTTGATTACTGTTCCCCAGTGTGTCTTAATTTTGGATTTTCATTTAAAAGTTTTAGAAGACTTCTGGTGTTTTTGCATTAACGTCACACTGTCATCATGAAGCCTATGAATTTTGTGACTGGTATTTCATGTTGATAATATTTTATTTTCTCTTATGTTAGATTCACTGGTTTTCAATTTTCAACTCCTTCATGATGGTTATCTTCTTGGTGGGCTTAGTTTCAATGATTTTAATGAGAACTTTAAGGAAAGATTATGCTCGATATAGTAAAGAAGAAGAAATGGATGACATGGTAAGTAAACATTTTACATTGTATTTATAAAAACAATCATTTTGAACATTGGAAGTGAGTTGATAATCTTGAGGACAGGTAAGTTTTAGAATTCAGAATTTTCCGGTTTTAGAAAGGTATAAATCTCCCTAAGGGGTCTCTAATCAAATATATTTTTTACATGCCCTGAGTACATGTCCTATTAATCAAATATATTAATGTTTTTTCAGCAAAACATATGAATGTTCACCCTAAGTGGGATAAATAAATAGTAAAAATTATCTCTTGTTACTTCACTCCAGGATTTGCCACCAAATAAGGATATGTCAAACTTCTGAAACAAATGTTCACTTTTCAGAGCTTTTGATTTCAGAATTGCAGCTAGGAGGTTGTAGACCTGTATTGGTATCTTTTTAATACTGTAAAATATTGCCTAAAATAGAGAGTGAGTGGAGGGATTAATTTACATTTAGTTCAGTAGGTTCAAAGGGCTGGTTTGTTTTCTGACTTCCTTTACTAAATTACAGAACAATGTTGTAAATGAGCCAGAGTGTTTTGTAGAATGTTAATGGCTGTTCTTTGTAGATATGTGCCATCATTAAATAAGTTTGGAAAATAGTTAAAGAAATTAAAATTTTAATATGCTAATGTGTTGTGGAATACCAGAGGGTAGATAAAATATTTGATACCTCTCAAACATATCTGATCAGGAACCCCCTCTTTACCCAAACAAAACAAAACACCCAGATTATCTTGACGAACTCATATTTCTTAAGCACTGGTGTAGGATACTTGCTTACTCAGGTTAAAAAGGCAAAATTGACTCTGTTTTAAAAATGCTCTGAGCAGTTAAATAATATTTCACTGTTTGATACATTCCCTGTATATTTTTTTAGATCCTAGCCTGTAAAGGATGTTTCTGCATTGTTAGGGCATCTAGTTCAGGTTTCAGTCTTCTCTCTTTTGCTCTCCACCTGACCCCTGGTCACATATGAGCCATGGTCATGGTATAAATGGCAAGAACAATGCCTGAAAGGAATGTTCAGAGAGCCAGTGTGCTTGTCTTCCAGTTTGACCATTTCTTTTTTGCTCCTAGACCTTTTCCTTTTCCATTCTTTCAGATTCTCTGGGTACAACAAGGAGCCACCTTCCTGAGCCTCAATAATACCACAATACTTTAAGATTATAAGTTATTAGGGCAATGATTCTTTTAAATTTGAAATGTCTTGATATTTTGAAACCCTCTGAATAGCTGTAAGTTTGGAGGGAGGGAACTCCCTATAACTGTAATTGTAGTTTTTTACCTACTTTATGTATTTTAATTTCATTCTGAATTATTGTATTTTCTTTCTACATATATCTGTGTATAGGATAGAGACCTAGGAGATGAGTATGGATGGAAGCAGGTGCATGGAGATGTATTTAGACCATCAAGTCACCCACTGATATTCTCCTCTCTCATTGGTTCTGGATGTCAGATATTTGCTGTGTCCCTCATTGTTATTATTGTTGCAATGATAGAAGATTTATATACAGAGTAAGTTCATATCTTAACTTCATTACTTTTTTATTGTTTTTGAGTAGTTTTAATCATTGGAACCTTTTAAGTCAATCATAATTAAATATTTTCTTATTTCAATTATCTTAGAATTTAAATAGCATAAATGTCATTATTGAAAATTACATAGTGAGCAGTAATCTTCAGCTATAAGTATGTTTTTTCTGTTATATCCTAAAATTACTAGCCTTACTGAACATATTGTTTGACTATAAAGGTTATATTCCATTAGAGGTATGAGCAGAGTTACTTATAGTTCAGAGCTGTTTGACAAAGTGAATAGGCACTTTTTTGAAAGCTAAAGATCCAATTAGATCTTCATAAGAAGCATAAAGATTATACAGTTACTGAATTAATACTTCATATTTACCTCCAAAACTTGGAGACTCTGCAGAACAGAAGAAAGCATTATAAATAACAGTAAAAAGAGTGATGGAAAAGGCACATAAGGTTAGAGAATTAATTGGATGACTTCTGATCCTATCTTTACATGGTTTCTGGTACATTTTTTCTTTGAGGACAAAACCAGTTGTAAGAAATTCTTGATATGAGGTCTTCAGGTTACAGGAAAAGTGGTACATTCACAGAGATCTCAAGTCACTGTTGAGTGGTCCTATAACCTTGTGCTCAGAAAACCACAACCTTAACGAAGCAAACTTCTGAGGCTGAGGGGCAGGGGTTCTAATTCAGGCCCTTTGGATGCTGCCCCATGAAGTTCTTGGTCAGAATGATTCTTGTCTCCAGTTACATTTCATACCTCTATTTTGGTTTATGCATTCTTTCTTAATATGCCTGGCATTTGGTGGACAACCATTAAATTGTTGTTGAAAGAATGACTCTTTAGTTTAATATTAAATATTTCACTGTACTAAATTGCTGTTTCTTCCACTGGACAGTAAGCTCCTTGAGAACAAAGACTGGGTCTTATCTTTGAATTCTCAAAGTACCTAAAGAACTGTGTGTATGGAAGCTACTCTGTCAGTGCTTGTTGAACTGAAGTGAATGTGTGTTAATCAACAAAATTATTTCTCTGTAGTTTCTGTTCTATTTCTTTAAGTTATAACCTTTGCAATTTGTTTACCATGTAAACTGTAAAACAGTTGACCAGAACATAAACTGCAGTATTCTGGCGGGTAGTTCATATTTTAGGATATAATATATTTTGGATGAACTAAATCCCAAATTCAGGAAAAGCATTTCAAATCTTCCAGGAAGTCATGCTTTACATTAAATACTAGATTAAGTTCACTGTGAAATTGACACTGACTGTATAGTCACAGTCTTAGGAGTTAGTAGTGGGTAACGTCTCCTGGAATCCAAGTTTTTGCTTTGTTCCTTCTCAAATGTTAGTGTTACAATGTTGGCAGTTCATTTTTTAGTGCAGAAACTTCTGCTTACAGGCCTTCAGCTTTTAGAAGTACTAAATTGCATAATAGTTGTATTAGGAGGCACGTGATGCATTGTTATTTTAGTCTGTCATTATCGATGGTTATTCTGTCATGCTTATTTGAAGTGAACATACTTAATCACTTACATGATATGTACTTCAGCTGTGAGAATTATGATGCTATTAAAAGAGACTAACATTATTGAGGTTCCATATTAGGAGCTTTATGCTTATTAACTCCTTTAGTTCTCACATCAGTCCAATGAAGGGACTATTATATCCACCCCACAGATGAGCAGAGTAAGCTCAGGGAGGTTAAATATTTAACTGAGATCACACAGCTATTAGTAAGGGGTGTTAGTAAGCTGAGATTTGAGCCTAGCACTCTTACTTCAGAGCTTGTCTTTTAATTTTCTATGCTGTGGAAATGAAAATAGAGATAATAAAAATACAAAGCAGAGAGAAAATGAAAAAAACTTGCGCAGAAATTTGTAAGACTCACTGTAGAGTAGGAATCTAAAGGATTCTAAAGGATAAAAATCAGATAATGTGACAGGTGAAAATTATTTTACCTCAGAATTACTTTCCCCTCAATCAGGGGAAAAATATTTAGGTGGGCAAGGGATCAGCATCCATGTGGATACCAATTAGTGTGATATTAACTGCTGAGAAGGCGTGGTGTTTGAGAAGTCATGAATAAGTGTGGTAAAATGCAGCTGCTACGCTGAAACTTCCGGTGGGGAGTGGTGAGATGTCAAGTGCAGGTGAAGCATCTCCTTAGATGTGCCCCAACCCTTGCCCCTAATCTTGGAGAGATGAACAAGGACGAAAGTTCCCTACTTAAGCAGGTTTTTCAGTGTAGATGAAAATGGTCTATTTGGGGTGGAAAATGCCCATAGAATATTTATGAACTAAGAAGTGCAAGAGTGTGTTTGATTTTTACAACTGTGACGGATACTCATACTTCCATTTAGTGGCAATGGTTCTAGGGGATACAGACTTAACTCCCTTGTAGTCATTTTGGACTTTCAGTCACTGGAGCAACTTTTTTGAACTCTGTCAATGTCTGTGTCAACCTTCATACACTCAGTTATAAACAGAATGGGTCAATTTCTTAATAATATTCTGGAAGAAATGTTAGTATTTTCAGTGTTTAATTGGATTCTTGAAAAAACAGATTTGGTTTTTAAACCTGATCAACTTTTAAACATGGGAAAGATAAATTTTTATATTGCTGCCACATTTGCGTTTAGCTATATATTGATGTAATTAAATGGTGCAATGTTTTAACTCTTATGTATCTACACTAAGAGATTGAACATAGGTGTTTGACCAGAAGAGTGCTACATGTTTCAAGGCTATATGATGCCTTTGTATTCTGCATGGATGGATGATGAAATATAATAATAATTATTATCCAGAAGGTAGTTAATTTATGAAAATTGAATATCTTTCCAGTGCATGTATTAGTGTCATATTCTTATAAATTCTCTGTAAAAGAGTATTCTTTAGGTCAGACTGATAAGGTTATATGTTCTATACACAGACTTTTACCTTCCTAGTTGTGGTGAGTTTCAGAAATGGTCTTTATTTTTAGTGAGTTAATGACATTTCTGTATTACGGCAAATGACACTGTCATTTTATCATTTTAATATTTCTCTTTGCAATTAGACATTTAAAGTATTTTGTCCAATTTTATTCAATAGGAAGGTTGATCTGAATTGCATAGATATTGGAAGACGAGATTAGAAATTGTTGATCTGAATTAATGTTAATTTGTAAACCTATGGATTTATAAAAGCATTTTATTGTTTATTTACTTATTTACTATTTTTTTTTAGTTATAGTCAGTTTACAATGTTGTGTCAATTTCTGGTGTACAGCACAATTTTTCAGTCATACATGAATATATATATTCATTTTCATATTCTTTTTCACTGTGAGTTGTAAAAACATTTTAAACAGTAGAAGGGAAACTAAATAGAAAAAGTCTAAGTATTATACCATTTAAAGTAATAGCACTAATATTAGAAAGATTATAGTACTTCCCATTTTATTTCTATCATCAGACAAATATCATAAGCAGTTAAATTATAAAGAGGAATATTCTAATTATTTTTCTTAACAGATGAATATCCTTTTCCATATGATGTGATTGGTTCACAGACTGCTAAACAGTTTTAGTGCCAGCTTCTAATATTTTTGCCAGAGAAATGTGAAATATTTGTTTAGAATATATTATGAAATTTAACTTCAAATAAAAAAAAATTAGTATCAGCCTGTTATCATTTAAGTGCAGTTTTAACTAGAAAGTCATTCCCTAGGAAACCTTTTGGATCCTTTGCAGTTTAGGGAGATATTTTTGTGTTCCTGTTTAATTTATCTTTGAAATTAAACTGAAGTTAATGTGATAGACTGTATGATATTTTCTTTAAATTGTTGGTTTTAATTTATCATATATATTGTCTTTCCATTTTAGGAGGGGATCAATGCTTAGTACAGCCATATTTGTCTATGCTGCTACATCTCCAGTGAATGGTTATTTTGGAGGAAGTCTGTACGCTAGACAAGGAGGTAACTTATGAGTTGTCACTTTGTATTTTTAATTGTGGATGTTAATGTTTTATTGTGAGGTATATCGAATTTAAAGTGGGCAGTATAACATCATAAAATCCTTTGTTATCCCATTTCACATAGTCTGCACTGAACCTGTTATGTGTTCTATCTTGCTTTTATGGAATCCTTATATGTTATTTCCTAAAATTATGAATAATTAATAGATTATCTCCATTGTCCACTGTGAAGTTAGCCCTGAGGAACATATAGGAGAGAGTATATTTAAATTATTTGTATTATTTTGCTTTGAGGTCCCTAGTTCCCTAGATGTGCTCCACAGGGGGCTTCCACATAGAGTATCAGTTTATAGCTGAATATAAGGGCATGTTTCACAGTTTATGGATAAATGTCTGGACAGTGGAAGGAAAATAGGAAGGAAAGCTCTTTATTTCTGTTGAGTCTTAAATACTTATCAGGGGACCCTTCACAAAGATTTCTGTTATTCTGTCACAGTCTTCATCTTAAACACTCCTTTGCTTCTTTTCTGTTGTGACCTGGAAATGATAGGATATTCATGGGTAATATGAGGGTACTGCTCCTTAGAATTTCTTTCTATGATGGCATTCAAGGTCTTTTAAATTCCTTTGATTTTCCTATAATTGTTTGAGGTCAGAGAAAAGTGCTGAAAGTAGTAGATTTGCATGTTTCAGTTTAGGAATGAAGGGTGTTGAAAGACCTTAAAATTATATTCCTAAGGATAGAGAATTCCTAATGTGATTTCCCAGTCCATCCTAAGCAATTAGGGGATCCTTCTTTTAATATGACTGTCATACAGGAGCTAGGCTCCAGGAGCTCCTAGCATAGGATCATTTAAAACTCCCCCAGGATATCCTGGTTTACCATGGGGTTTTTTTATTGATTTTACTAGACTTAACGTGGTCTGTGCCTCAGCAGAAATAGTTCTTTGGATTGCCTGAAGGAGTATTATTTCGGATTCCTGTTGTTGTTTTAGGTAGCTGTTCATTCTCTGTATGTTTAACCTCTAGATAGGGGAAATGAGTCTTACTATATGCAGGTCTACCATCCTAAGGAAATAAGGATGCCTAAGGTTAACTCCTACTTTGAATTTGACTTGAAAATTAGGCTAAGAATTTCACAGTTTCTGACCTCCAGAAAAGTCTCCACAGAAGAAACAGATTGTACAAAACAGGAAATTTATTCATACTTGAACATAAATTTGCTTTTGGTTCAGTTGCAAGTTAAGAACACCAAGCAAAACTTTACTATACTTATTTTTGAAAGTTGATAGAATTCAGACTTAAACCTAGAAGTATCAAATCATACCAAGTATAACCTAATTGACTGACTGACAAGCACTAAGGAGGTGTGATCATGTCCTGATATTTTGTCTAAGCGATCCATCAAAATCAGGTTAATATAGAAGTGAACCCATAGAATCAAGAGTTTTTTAGAGTTCCTTCAGGATTTGGACTACAATGAAGCTCAAGATCTTCACGCTGTCCTCAGTGCACTGGATAATGCTCCAGCCCAGTTTAAAGCCAGGGTAGAGTGGAACTTGAGCAGAGTCTCCAAGGTGTTGGGGAGGAGTAGGAAGCACAACAGTGCAGATGCCTTGGCTAATGATTATAGCCAGTGGAATATGCGTGGGCTTCTCTTTGACTGTTGGAGAGAAGGAGAGAAAGAAAGTTGAATATAGAATTTATTAATACGTGTCTGAATCTGAGAAGATAATGAAAAGTGCAGAAAAAGAGAATGTTAGGAAAGAGTTGGAATAGGAGAAATAATAACTTTAATTAGCTGTTACCCTTTTTGTGTTGTTCAGATGCTGAATATTAGTTTAGAAAAGAGGGATTCTTGAGACTTACCTGAGAGCAAAATTAAATAGAGGTGAAAGTTCAGAATCAAGGAGTTTTTCTGGAGGAATGTCAAGATCTGAGGTAGTTAATTCTAAGAGACAGATGTTTAAAAGAGCTTATATAAAAGAAAACAAGTATTACGGTATGGCTTGTTTTTCCTAGAGCGCCTTCTGTTTGGGTCTCTGTTGCTTAAGATTGTGGGACTCAATTTTAATAGTGATTCCGTGTTAAATCTTTATATTCTGTTCCTAAGGAGTATGGAGATGCTTCCCCAGAGGTGTACTTGCTTGTGCACTCTGCTGTATTAGAAAGATAGCTCCTTGTTGTGCTTCTCATCATAATGAACATGATTTAAAATTTTTGATTGTATAGTTTAGAAATTCCTTTTTTGGATTATTTAAGTAATAGATGCTCTCTGTATAGAATTTTGGCAATACAAAGAGGTTCAAAGAAATAGTAAACCATAATTGTTGAGAGAAAGCTCATGAAACACACATTCTTTTGTTTTTTTCCTTTTGAAACATAGAAATGAATTTAAATATACGTTTATAATAATAATTAGAGAAAGAGTATAGGGACCGTTACTAACCGATGGGCTTTTTAACTTTTTTTTTTAAGTAGTGTAACCCTCTTTTCAAATGAGAGTATACATGAAACTCTAGTGTTTAGAACTGCTGCAAATGGATTTGTTCTGGTTGAAGCAGGGCTTGGGGACCTGGGCCCTTCCTTCACCAGTGACTTTAGGGTCACCTCATAAAAGCGCCAGAACTCCAAGTAATGGTTTAAAAACACTTTTCTAGGCCAGCTTGTAGCCCAGAAAGATTGAGTGGTTAACCAACATTCACAGCAGTTCAGTGACAGAATCAGGACAAAACATCAGGATATTGTAGTTCATTGCTCTTTTCCAGTACACTCACTTCAAAAGTTGCATTTCTATTAGACATACTTGAATGGCTGGACTAGTCTTTATTAGCTATTGTTTTGAAACAGTTATAAGGATGTTAAATTTCAAGATCTTTACCTTAAAATAGTCAACAGTTTGGTACTCAGTGACTACCTTTTAAATATTAATGTATGTCTATCTACCTAGGTCTCTGATTTTTATAGTTTCCATTTTCTTTCAGGAAGGAGATGGATAAAGCAGATGTTTATCGGCGCCTTCCTTATCCCAGCTATGGTGTGTGGCACTGCCTTCTTCATCAACTTTATAGCCATTTATTATCATGCTTCAAGAGCCATTCCTTTTGGAACGATGGTGAGTTGCTTGGTTCTTACTTTTAAACGGAGAAAGTACAAATGTTCTAATATGAGGCCTGCTGTCTCTCCAAAGTACCTCTTATTTGGAGTTTTGAAGTTGCAGCCAGTCCCTTTGCAGTCCTGGAAAGTTAGGTAAAGAAAAGTTTTTCTTGATTCTGTCAGCCAATGAAGGCTGACTTTAAAGAAAGACAAGAGAGAGAACACTATACTTTTTTATCAGAGTTGAGAGAAACTGTTAAGTGTATTTTAGAGGAAGAATGATGACACATGAGAAACTTGGGTGTTTTAAGATGATGGGTGAATGCAGGGGTGGGAAGTGAAGATTTTCTGTAACTTTTTTTTAATGTTGGTAACTGTACTATTTTTAGACCCTCATTAAAACATTTAGATTAATATCAGTAATACATGTTGCTGTAGATACTAAAATCCTATCATTTCTTACCTATTATCACAGACTTTGAAATGTTTTAGATTATTTGGGTATATTAAAACTAAAACACAGATATACTGGTGCTTTACAGAGTTAACGCACAGTCTCCAGATTTTTCCTGTTGTTATATTTTTACTAGAAACAGAATTTTAGGCCTGGAGTAGACTTTAGTCTTAATGTACACTTGTGCAAATGTGCACACACGCGCACGCCCGCGTATGCAAATTGCAGGGTGGTTACTGTTGTCAGAAAAGGGAGATGACTTGGCTAAGATCATATGGATAGTTAATGTCAGAAATGTAACTGGAACCTGTATCTCCTCCTGAATTTTAATCTGGTTTTGGGTCTCTATCTATTATATGGAAGTTACTGAATAGTTTCATATAAATTCCAGATGATTTTGTTGTTTTACAGTCTAGGTTTTTCAAAGATCCATTGTATATACATCTTTACTAAGTCTTTAATACTTTTTAGTTAGGAATATTTTGAAAATTACTTCAAAATTTAAAGTTTTTAAATTTTATTTTATTTTTTTGCAAGCCAAAGTGAGTGATAATGGTTAGGAAAAGGGTAAAGTAATTAATTACATCCAAAACTGGAAAGGAATTTGCCTCATAGTCATTCTAGGGCATAAGAAAGTTTATATAGGGAGTCAAGTTACCCTTTTTTTTTAATTAAAAAATAATTTTATTGTGGTATGGTTCCTATAGTAAACTACACATTTTTCAGATGTACATTTTGATGAATTTTGATAGATGTATATATACACCAGTGAAACCACCATCATAATCAAGATAGCTAACATTTGCATCATAGAGTCAAGTTACTTCTTAAAGATGATCTGCTAAGTTAATTACTTTCATAGTGCTTTAAAAATTAAAATTATGATTCTGTTATAATCTTCTTCATAAACATTTGAATTTGATGTGGTGAAAATGATATTTCAAAGTTGCTTTATTTTACTAAAATTGTAAATTTTACTACTTTGTAAATGGGATTTTAAATGTTAATATTCTCTGTAATTTGTCTTTGGATAATTTAGTAATTACTAATTATTAGAATACAATATCAGACTCTATGCTGAGCCAGAGGTTTATAAAATTGATCTTTGGTGTATAAAAGACTGGCTGTTGATGCTTAGCAGACTCTTAAAATAGCATGGCCTTCATTTGCATTCTAGTTTGGAATGAAGGAATACTGAATGGTTTTGGTATCAGGATATTGCTAACTTTATAGAGTAAATTTTTAACTTTCAATCAGTGTTTCTTCTATTACAGTTTTGAAGTTGCTCAAGAAACAGAATGTGGAGTTATTTATTAGCATGTTGAATGTGGAATAAAATATATAGGCTTCTTTCAAGCATTTGTGTTTGAATTGGCAATGTCCTGATTATTAGGTTGATTATTGTCGAAATGCTTAAATTGAAGCTAAAGAATGTTTATATAGACATAAAGGCATAAAATGTATAAGATAGAAAAGCAGAATAAAAAGTGTCTACTCTGAGCAAGTGTCAAAGAGATGCCTAAACATAATGGCTGACAAGATGATACATTTTTTAAGACTTGCCTTATTACCTGTAAGCAAATTACTGTCTGTCACCCTAAGTAGAATTTATATCCTTTGGCATTCCAAAATTGCCCATCTTACGCTGTGTTTTCCCTTTCCATTCCACTCATACCACAGATTTCCCTAAAAGGCCAGTCTGGAAGCAAAGATAGAACAATAGTCATATTCTTGGTTTCTGACTGAGATTGAGAATAGTTGACCAGTTGGTACATCTTTGGGGCTATTAAGTAATGATAGCAGTACTTATTTCTAGCTTGTTCTTACTGTAGCTATGGGACACCCTCAACCTAGAGTGAGTCCTTCCTTTCCCTCTCACTGTTTTCAGTCTCCATCGGTCCATGAGCAGTGGCTAGGATGCTCTAGAGAGTGCCCTATATTAACAGTTTGAGTTCCAGGGTTTTCACCAGTGTATTAGACTACATTTTTTTTTTAACTCTTAGCTGCTAACTTTAATTTTAAATGAAAGCTTAATTTAGAAATCCAATAAAGAAAACAGATACAAGCATGATTCTATTAGTATAAATAAATTTTACAAATTCAGTATTTTAACATTTTAAATTTAATGACAGCAATAAAGTTGTGATGAATGCAGATCTAATATCAAGGAGTATGGATAACATTCTTCTTCAATGACCAATTTATTTGGTTGAATATCAGTATTGAGAAAAATCCTGATTTCACAAATGATTTTAGTTCCATGTGACCTTTTTTTTTTTTAACAGCTTGCCTTGCAATCTCAGAGTATTCGTCAAGTAAACTCATCCAGAACTTTGACATAAAGGAGTAGGAAATTGGTTTCACAGTTCAGTCACTAACAGTTTTTAATAAACTGCTAATTTTTTTTCTTCATGTATAAAAGTCAGATGGGAAAAGGGGAAAAAATGCTTAACAGTTGATAATGTCTTGATGAGACTGTTTGTAAGTTCCTTTATTGACTGTTGTGCTTTGAATGAGCACATAAGGCAAGATATGCCGTCACTTCACCTGCCACTTAATTGCTTGTGACATGCATGTGCTGTAGTGCATTTGCTAGTTAAGTTTTTAGTGAGCAAAATATGTGGAGGCCTGAACTGGGTCGGGGTGGGAGGTGCGGGGTGGTGCGGGAGAACGAAAAATCAGTGTAGCATTGCAAGCCGTCCTAGTCAGTGACACATCTACACGGAGTCCACGTACTTACACAGAGATAGCAGGAGAGTTTACTCCGAGGTTTACGTGAAAACGAATTATGATAGCTCCAGTTGTTAATATTTGGTGTAGAACTAATTTGAGTCTGTATGTTTTTTACTATTATTAAAATTAAAAAAAAAACTATTTTCAAAAGGATATTCAAATCAAATGCTTGTGGAATTCCTGAAACTCTTCAGTAGGACCTGAGGGTTCTGTGGAACAGTTTGAAAACCACTTTACTAGAGCATGTCATTCCACATAGGAGTGTTTTCTCCAGCTTCTTTTCAATTCTTACTTGAAATTAGAGTTCTGGTAAGTTAAGGGGAAAATACATAGGTCTCTATTACAATGTGTTAATATTTATGAGTTTTATATACGTAAGGAATATCAAAATAATAAGAAAGCAATTAATAATCAGTAATGATTGAGACACAGTTTACCCTCAAAATATGAGATGTGTATAAATCACAATATATTCTGATAGTTAAAATGTCTTTAAAACATCTGCTTATTTTTATGTTTCACATACTATTTATATGAGCAAAAATTCATATTATTAACAGGTCTAAACTGAGGCACCAATGATTTGAGTTCCTAAGTCTGATCTTTAAAATGTAATTCCAAGACTCTCCTAACTCTCATACATTTGTAGAAGTTTTATCTGGCAGGAAGATGTTGATACCCTTTGGCTTATTTAAACACACATAAGCGCGTGGAAGGATATAATGAAGATACAGAGTTTTCACTCATGTTGCTTCAAAATAGATTCTTTCCTTCTCATGTAATCACTGTGGATTTTCTACCCCACACTTCATTTTTCTCAATTTCTTCACAAATTTCATTCAGCTTTTCTCTCACTTTTACTTTTGATAAATTAGAACCTCCAAATGTATTATTGAGAGAGATCTTAGAGATGATTCAGTCCTACTCCATTTTTAGAAGTTCAGAGTGAAAAATATCCTAACCAGAGGCTGGCTGGAAAAAGCTTGAGTGTGTCCCCTTGAGTATTCAGATTTATATAAAGAGAAAAAATCACAAAAATAAATACGTTCCTAATTGACCACTTGGTTCTAGAATCTCTGTTTGATCTTCCCACTTTATACTTTGAACTAGTGATTGGCAGAAAAATATTCATGTTATTGTAGTAGACACATAAAAACATTAACAGTGTGATAGTCTTCTGTTGTTAAGATCCTCAGGCAGTGTGGAATGGAAACGAGCAGGGTCTCTGAAACAGGCAGATCTGAATTGAAATCTTAGTTCAGCCACCTACAGTGTGATTGTGGAAGTTACTTAGCCTCTTTAAATCTCATTTTCTTCATCTTTAAAGTAGGGAAATAACATATGTAAAGGTCCTTGTGTATATTAGGAGCTCAGTGAAGTGTAGTCAAGTGAATAAGTTGGTTATAATGATAAAAGATAGAGAATATGTTAAAAGTATGACAACTGAAAAGTGAAAGGAGAGGAAAAAGGACTACAGCAGAGACAGTATGGGAGAATAGGGAAAATTGGCACCTACAATAGTTAACAAACAGTTCAACTTGTGTTAGTTCAATCCTAATAGTTTTAAAACACACGTATTTCTATTAGTATATATCTTACACAATTTTAACCCGTATTGAACTTAAACATTTTCTTTTGTGATCAGATTGTTTAAATTTTTGTGTCCTTTTTGTTTGTTTTTTATTAATGTTATTGTTCTCGGAGTAATCATACACTTTTTAATTTAATTTACAGGTGGCCGTTTGTTGCATCTGTTTTTTTGTTATCCTTCCTCTAAATCTTGTTGGTACAATACTGGGCCGAAATCTGTCAGGTCAGCCCAACTTTCCTTGTCGTGTCAATGCTGTGCCTCGTCCCATACCGGAGAAAAAATGGTAAAGAGAATGCTAAATTTTCTGCAGTTGTTTCTCACAATATACAAGTTCTTAATGCTGTTATGTATATGTAACTTTTAGAATTGGCATGTATTTATTTATGAGTGACTATCTTAAGTTTAAACTTAAGAATTTGTCTTTTTACTTTTTTCTTCAACTTAAATTGTTGGGAGTAGTAATAAATTATATCTTTATTTCACTTTTTGTGAATTGCTGCCATTTATAGAGAAATCAAATGCTTTGGTAAGTACATTAGTGCCTAGAGGTGGATGGGAGCTAAAGCTGCAGTAGCTGTGTTACTGCAGCCTACAAGCCAGATTTGACCTGATGCCTGTTTTTATTAAAAAAAAAGTTTTGTTGGAACATAGCCATGACTGTTTGTTCACAGATTGTCTGTGACTGCTTTTACACTGCGGCATGAGTTGAGTAGTTACGACAGAGACTATAACATCTGCAAAACCTGAAATACTTAACTGTCTAAACCTTTACAGGAAAAGTTTGCTGACCCCTAGCATATAATTTCATTTTCCTTTCCAGATATTTTATTATTCTAAGCAATATTGACACACATTTCTAACCGTATACTTCTTAGCAATGAGAGATGAATTGGGATTGAGACCAATTATAATTTACTGACCTACATTCTTTGTCTTCACTTCTGGAAAAATATAGAGTCTCTCAAATACATTTTGTCACATTTTATGCACAAAATGTGTTTTTGAGGCTCTCCTGTAATTCAAGATTAATCCTGACAAAGGATGACAGCTATCTCTGTTTAACAGCTAAAGCATTTCTTCTATTGCAGCAGTATAAATATAGTTCACAATTCATTGAACCATCAGCTTTGAAATAATGGTTCTTGATAGACTTTTAGCTTGAGGTGATTTGTATTTTTTCAAATTTTGGACATAAAATGAGATGTCACTAATATGTTTAGATTTCAAATTTTCATAATTCAAACTTGAACAAAACATGAACTCATTGTATATATGTTTTGCCTTTTTTTAACTTTTTTTATTGATTTATAATCATTTTGTTTTGCCTTTTAAAATTAGTAAATTTAATGTTTTAGTGCTGATTTATGCTACTCTGCATTCTTTATTCTTCTAATTCTTACTAGCAGATAAAAGTAGAACAGTCTTACTGTCTGTTTATCATATTCCCCATCTTGTAAGAATAGCTGTACAGTAACTAGACTCTACATATTCATAATAATGGGCATATATTGAAAAGCCTGTGCTCCTAGATATTTGGCCATATTATAAATATAACTTATATTCAAGTACTTACACAGTCTTTTGTAGATTTTGAAGTATGCAGGCATTTACAGAAGTGGAGGCTGAATAAAATAGCCTGTAGTTTTAAAGGAGAGTGATCTCTTTTAAGGAATTGTCCATGTTCTTTTTTTTTTTTTAGATTGGCTTTTTTTTTTTATTAGATTAGTGTTTATGAGAACTTTTGTAGTCTTTTTTTTTTTTTTAAGTCAACTTTATCTTTTTCCAGGCAAGATTAGATGGTGAAGGCCCATTGATATCCTGATGTTTGTTCACCCATTATTGGGGAGGATAAGGTTAAAGGAAAAGCATAGTCAGAAATCACAGAAGTTCATCTGGGTCAGTAGAGCTGGTGAAGGAGAGGAAGGAGCAACATGTGACCTTGCTAACCATAGGTCACATCTAGGTGAAGGAAGGCTCATGGGTCTTTTCATTTTCTTTATATAGTTATATGGGAACCAAAATCTGAATACTAGATCTGATTCTCACTGATGTGTCTCTTTGAACAGATCATTTTTAACCTCTGTGGATCTTGGCTTCCTATAAAGGGAGAAAAGAAGACTTTATGATTTTTAAGTTTTTTTTTTTCAGCTCTCAAACTTTTTTTCTTCTCCGTTTTTTAGTTTGTCCATTCCAGAAATAGTAGATTAGTATCTTTTATGTGCCCCATAGTGTCCTGGGCACTGGGAATACCTAGATGAATAGCTTCTGCCTGCTAGGGTTTATAAGCTGGTGAGGTGTGATACGTATGTAATTAGATAGTTCGGTGTGGTGTGGTAAATTAGGTTTACGAGGCAGTGGAAGAACTCACTTCTTCCTGGGAGACTTGGGGAAGGCTTTACCCGGAGAACACTTGAGCCAGTGCTTGCAGGAGAGAAGCAGGAGGTGAGGGAAGGCCTTCTAGGTGGAGAGTTACCACTTGCAGTCAGTTGAGTGAATGAGTGAGGTTTGAGTTTTATTTTTTATTCATACTTTGGCTCCATTATAACTCAGAACTCATAATACCTTAATTGTATAATTTATAGGAAAAAGAACGACTGACTCAAGGAAAGCATGAGCAAAGAGATGGCAAGGCCACAATTTGGGAAACGTGATTTCAGATAGGGGATCTTAAGACTTATTTTCTTTCCCTGTGACTTTCTGGAAGTAAATGATTGTAAAGTTTTTAGAAGTTACTGAGAAGTATAGAACAGGAGCAAACACTCAAGAGTCTTGAGTTTTATCAGTAGCAAGAATTTATGTTCCCCAAATTCTTATCTTGGCCTTTAATGCCAAAAAGAATTTTGACAAAAACTTATGGCTAATTTAAAGGCCCATTTCTGTATTGTGCCTCTTTGAATTTTTGTTTTTCTTTTTACTGGTTTGTTTCTGTCCTTTAGATTATTTTTAAGTACCAAACATCTGATTTCTATTATCCGGATTTATGTAATGTGGAAATCATACTAGAAATTTACTGTTAATTTTAATATTTTCCAGGTTCATGGAGCCTGCAGTTATTGTTTGCCTGGGAGGAATTTTACCTTTTGGCTCAATCTTTATTGAAATGTAAGTTTTGGCAGTGTATTTATATTTTGAGGGATTAAGAAAATTTAGGAGTTAGGGTAGGTATAGAATCATCTGATGGGAAAGCATCTAACAGAATTAGTCTGTTAAGTCTGTGCTTCTAGAAGGGAGTCTGTAGTTTATGTAAAGGTAGTTTTCTGCTTTGTTCTCAGATACTCAGGTGAAGTTTTATATTGTTCTTTATATTGTTCTAGACTTCTCTCACCAAACAGATCTTAGAAATCAAAGCATGCATGCTAGAGAATGCCAGACCAGCCTTTGACTACTATTTTTTCAAAACAAACTAACTAGGTAAATTATTACCTGCTAGTCAGTCTAGATCCTGACATCTTTAGATGCATGATCAGTTCTAGTCTCCTTCCACAGTGGCCCTCAGGAGTGCTGGGAAGTGTGTACGTGTTTAGGGGTGGGAGGTTTGCCATCTTGTGTGCCCAATGACAGTGCTTCATATTTGCAGTCCCCCGTGCAAAATGTAAGCCTTTTTTTCTCTCAGCCTGTGTTCCAGTGTTCCTTGATGGGAATGCTCTGGCATTTTAGGCAGGACAGTTCTTTGTATGGTGCTTGTTCAAGAAAAGCGATCATACCCCTCTGGCTCCTGCCCATTAAATGCCAGTCATTGAGACTACTCAGAATTCCCTTATACATTTCCAGATGCCCCACTGCTGATTCTTTTCTGTATATTGGATGCTTCCTTAACAGACATGATTGCATCTGATAATTGGTTAATTGAAAAAGCTGGCTCATGTAGGAGAATTACACAAAAAAAAAAGACATATACATAGTATTTTTACTTAAAACAGCTAAAGGTATATCTTTCACTGATTTTTTTTAAAATATAGAGCCAAGATCTTGTCTTTGTACGTAATTTATGTTTCCATCATTTTCCTTTGACATTCATAATGCATCTTCTATGTTTTCCAACCTTTTTAAAGTGGAGCAAGAACATATGGACTTGCCTGAAGCATTCTAAGTGCAGAATCCTTCTAAATTTGTAATTTGTCCCCCAGTCTTTTATAGCTATCTCACCCACACCTAATTTTATACCTTTTTTTTAGTGGCTCACCTTGTTGAATTTTTCCAAAGCATTCAACATAATTTTCATAGAAATCACATTCTTTTTGCTCTCAGTTGTGGAATTAGAGTAAAGGGTCTTTTTTTGGTATAAAATTGTAATGCCCTTTCTCTTACGGCCCTGTGAAAATGGCATAATGCTGCTTTAGGCTTTCTTTTCCTAATTTAAACATTATTACTCTATCAAATCTATTTTTTATTTAATAGGGTGTTTATAAAATATAAAATACATTGCTTGATAGTGTTCTATCTAGAAGAAACAAAAGAATGAGGGAATTGACTTGATCTTAAAAATAGGAATTTTTAGCTGTTTTCATTTTTCTTTTCCACACATTACTCCTTAAGCTTCCAGTTTATTCAGTTTGCTTAGAGATGAATACCCTACTGATGAATCTGTTCTTGAAAGATTATCTCAGAAAATATTTTTGAGAGACTTTTAGAGGATTTAATAGATGAAAAAAAAGGAAAGGGAACTGTTGGAAGTTACTTGAAAGAAAAATAATGAGATTTAAGTGAGAAAGAAGTGAGAACTAAGATGCAAGTGAGAGTTAGCAAGAGCAGGGTGAGCTTTGAGAATAAAGACTAGAAAACTATGTCTTCATTGCCTTTTATTTAGGTATTTCATCTTTACATCTTTCTGGGCATATAAGATCTATTATGTCTATGGCTTCATGATGCTGGTGCTGGTCATCCTGTGCATCGTGACTGTCTGTGTGACCATCGTGTGCACATACTTTCTACTAAATGCAGAGGACTATAGGTGGTGAGTACTTACTCCTGGAAAGAACCTCTGGGGACCATAACATTTTAAAATAAGATTCTTTTGAAGTGTATTAAGCAGATTAAAAGATCTGTATGGAAATTTTTCTCCCTAAGATAGTGTAGGGATATTTTTCAATTATAAAAATGATGAAGATTGTAGAGGAAAAGTCGTATCAGTCAAAAAAGTTTTTATTTTAAAGAGGGTTACTATCTTAAATACAAGGAGACAGATCTGAAGAAGGAAGTAGTTTATTTAAGGTCATTTAAAATAGGGAATCTGACAAAATTCAGGATCTCTCCTTCCAATTCTTAGGCTCTCTCCTTGTTGATATATTTAGATGTTGTGTACATGCATTTGTTTTTAAATATATAGAAAAATTATTTGCTTTAAAATCTTTCAGTGCCATTCAGTCAAAAGAATTACTTTTTTTTCTTCAGGCAATGGACAAGTTTTCTCTCTGCTGCATCAACTGCAATTTATGTTTACATGTATTCCTTTTACTACTATTTTTTCAAAACAAAGTAAGTGGAGACATTTTCTCATTTTGTATTTAGGAAACTAAGTTTGTCATTTAAATACTAGAATTTAGGCCTTATGTTGAAAGTAAAAGTGAACAAACTATATATAATTTTTTTGTTTTATTTCAGGATGTATGGCTTATTTCAAACATCATTTTACTTTGGATATATGGCAGTATTTAGCACAGCCTTGGGGATAATGTGTGGTAAGTTCTGAAACTCTTGGAATATCATGAGTAGATCTTTGAGCGTTTCAGAATCAGAAAAATACAGTAATTGGAAATTAAGAAATTACATTCTGTTGTTTGAGCAGGAACATAATAAACTCAAGCATCTGATTTCAGTTGTTTTGACTGTTTCTCAAAACCTAACTTATTACCTCCTTGATTTCTTTTAAAATTTCCTCTTTCTAATAATTCTGTATAGCACTGTTTTCCATACCACAAGTAGTTTCTCGTTCATGTTGAGAATTGGCATTTTTTTAAAGCTTAGATTTGTTGGAAAAGATTATGATGTAAACAGGTTAAGGTTTTGGCCAAATGATTTTTGTTTGGAAGTTTCTGTTCCATTGTTCATGGAGATAACGGTGTCCAGGAAGGTAGCACAGCTTAATGGCTATGAGTACACGCTTGGCTGCGCTACCTTTGTTTCTGTACCTTGATTCAGTTCCCCAAGTTCTCCAGACCTCTGTAAAATGAGGATAATACTACTGTTTTATGGGTTTATCACAGTTTACCATTAAATGGAAGAGGAAGAGTTATCAGCATATGATAGAGTCTCTCGTATGTGTGAAATAGCTAGAAAATAAAGAACTTTTGGAAGCAGCATGATAGATGGAAAAGACATGGACTCAAGAGCCTGAGAGACCTCGATTAAGTCTCCATGCTGCCACTCACTTTTTTTTTGTGGCCATAGGCAGGCATAGAAACCTTTCTAAATCTCATTTTCTAATCTGTAAAATGAGCATATCTTTCAGAGTATTTATTTGTAACTGTCCTGTGTGTAAAGCACCAAGTGTAATGCTGGTCTATTATTAGGTAGTAAGAGATAGCCAGTTACAGGGGAGATGTGGTGGGGATTTTTTTTTTTTTTTGATAATTTTACCTTTAGCTATTCAGTAGGCAATAGAATAAGGAAGATAGAATAATCTTGTTAGAAGTTAGGTCCTGGTATGACATTTGTGGACCTCTTTAGGGTACCAGGATTGCTTTTTCCTCCATTAAAAGAATCTGTTCTGCAGATTGATGGTTGCCAGAGGTGAAGGTGTTCAAAAGGTACAGACTTCAAGTTATAAGATGAATAAGTTCTGGGGATGTGATGTACAGCATGGTGATTAGATTTATTAATACTGTGTTGTATATTTGAAAGTTGTCTAAGAGATTAGATCTTAAAAGTACTGATCACAAGAAAAAAACTTTGTGAGGTTGTAATTAAATTTATTGTGGTGATTGTTTTGCAACAGAAAAATATATCAAATCATTATGTTGTACACCTTAAATTAATGCAGTGTTACATGTCAATTTAAAAAAAGAATCTGTTTTGTTTATATATACCATGTATGTGACCACGGTGCACACACATACACAAGTAACACTGACCATAAAGTAGTAAAACTAATTCCACCAGCTATGAGGGAAGACAGTTCACTTATGTTACAGTTACATGGTTTGTTTATAGCTGCTGTGATCGCCTTCCACTGTAATAATTAGTTAACAAACTTTGAGGGAAAGAAAGATGAATAGGAACTCAAGGTTAAAACAAGATTTGTGTTACATAGGAATGTCCTGTGTATCCCTAGGCAATCAGAAGTTTCTTTTAGCAGTATTTGCGACCCTTCTCTCAGAATATTTAATGCTCCCTGAACTTCTCTTTATTTAATCTGTGATCTTTCTTGATTATCACCAGCAATCAGTGAGATATAGACTCATGGGATTATGCAGAGGGTTACATTTCTTTTTTCTTGACTATATGTGATCTTAGGAAGACCTAGAGAGGTAATACCTTGACATTTACAAAGAAAATGGAATGAATTTAGCTAAATTTTTTGAGTGCTTTTCCTGTTGAAATTTCATCTTGCTGCCTGACAATCTTGGCACATTTACAGTTCCCTGTTGTTCTGGCAATGTCCCAGCATTTATTTTTTAATGAGTTTATATGCCTTCAGTGCTAATCTATTTGGGTGGGGGAGGGGAAGCAGTTCATACTGGAAATGATTAAAATGTCATCATAATACAAAAATTATACATATTCATCAAGTTATATTGCTAAAATGCTTTTTCAGTCAGTAATTGAAAGAAAAATATTCATTGGGTTTTTTTTAAATGTAAAAAAAAAGAAATAACAATGTTAAGGTGGGAAATAATTAGATTGTTATAGTCTTTATATTTTGAGCATAGCATTTTAGTTTTAAGGAAATTAAGTTTAAAAGTGTATTATTCCCAAGACATTTACTTTTCTAGAGCGCATATTCGGTAATCTCCCTTTTATAAAGTCATATTTTTGTAAGTTTATTCTTGAGGTACTCATAAGATTAGGAAAAATGATTCTCTAGGTTGACACTGTTTTGCTTTTAAGCGTATCTCTGCTCAAAAGGGAACAATGTTTTCTAAGTCTGGAAAATTGGATTTGGTAGTTGGACTAGTGTTATATTATGCCAGTTAAATTTTTGATTCCAATTAAAATTTTACATGTGTTTTCATGTTATAAGAATTCAGGGTTTTTTTTTAAATAAAATTGAGTGTTTTTTTTCTTTTACCTTGTAAGGACATATATATAACTATTTCAGAATGAATTATCACTATTTTCAAGTGTAGTATGATAATTTCATATTATAAAAAGAATGTCTATTGTAAAAATAATTGAAAAAAGGCTTGCTTTGTTATTTGGGGTTTTTAAAAAATATTTTTAATATTTAATTACAGGAAATTTTCAAATATATACAAAAAGAGGAACAATAATATGTATGTAATGAGTCCCCATGTACCTGAACACATCTAACACAGTAATCAATTTGTAGTCAATCTTGTCTTACTCATATTCCCACCATACCTCCCTTCTTTTCTGACATGACTCTCAAACCTCATGTCATTTCAACTGTGTAAATATCTCAGTATATGTGTGTATATATATATGTGTATGTGTATATCAAATATGCAGTGTTTATATAGAATTATATAGCTGTAATATATAACTTAGTAATAATACAGTTTTAATAATATTTCAGTATACACATATATATATGTAAAATTTCTTAATGTGTTCAGTATTTAGTCAGTATTCAGATTTACCCCACACATCCTCATTTCTCTTTTAGTATAGTTTGTTTGCATCAAGATCCAGTTAAAGTTTGTGCATTGCTGGGTTGAACACTCTTTTAAGGATCTTTCAATCTGCTGATGTTCTCTCTCTTTTCCCTTGCAGTTATTTAGGGAGCTTGGGTTTTTGTTTGTTTGTTTGAATTCCTGTAGAGTTTTCCACACTCTGGATTTTGCTGATTGTATCCCTGAGGTGTCACTTATGCTTCCCCCATCATATTGCCTGAAAAGTGGTACTTAGGTCTATAGACTTGATCAGACTAAGAATACTTGTCCAAGTATATTAACAGGTAGTTTGAACAGGTAAACTTTCATCAAGAGTCTGGTTGCCTTTCTTTGTGAGTTAGCAGCCCTTGATAATTATTGCCTAGCTCAGATAATCTATTAGTGGTTATAATATTCTAATTAGCTGGGATACTTCTCTAAGGAGAAACTTATTTTCATCAACTGGTTCCCTTGAGGTACAGTTCGCATACATACAGGACAGGCAGAAGAGACTTACTATTTCCCTTGCATACACCAGTTAGTTTAATAAAAGTTAGTTCAAAGGTGCCCAAATAGGCGTGTGTGGTGTATATCATTATTAATTCATGGAAGATTTACTTTTAGCTTTTGAATAATGGGCTTAGATGGTAAATTCCTAAATCTAATAGAGAATCTTCTCTATGATGTGAATGACCAGCAGTCTTGTTCTAAAGATCCCTTATTATTTGTAGTAAAGAACTATCCAGTTCATTCATTTATTCAGCAGGTATTTATTGAATATCTTACTGTCTGCCAAGTACTCTTTTAGGCAGAGCCTTAATTTAACAAAACAGATAAAAACACCTTTGCTCTCCAGTGTTTTAGGTCCCATTTGACCTAAAACTAATTATTTAAAGACATTTCAAAACTCCTGACCTACTTACCTGTCTCTCTTATCCATTCCCTCAAATATGCCTGCCTCCCTACGAACCACATAGCTTCTGCAGTTTAAACATAAAAAAATGACGCCATCAGAAATTTCTCTCTAGAGCTTCAAATGCCATTGGGTCATAGTTCTCAATTCTTCCCTGAGAGAATCCCCGATCACTTTTTACTTACCTATCCATAACGTAGCATATGGTTTGGGGAACATATTAATGACCTGGAATAATCTGTGCTTAAATTTTAAAAAGATGTTTTTTTATTTAACAAATGTTTGTCATTCTGAAATTATTCTTTTTTTATAAGAGATTATTTAAATTTATATAGTTCATAATTCATGTAAGTGATATTTAATTTAATTCTAAAATATTATATGAGGTCAGACTTGGTGTACGACAGTTAACAGGTGATTTGTAACAAATGATATAATTTTAATAAGTTTATAGAGAATACTAACGTAAAGGTGTTATCTTGGAAAAAGAATAACTTTCCAGAGCAGAGAGCATATATTTGGTGTTTGTTTGTAAATGATGGTTGCTGTTCTCTATGTATTTGTTTCAAAACATCTTATTTTATCTTTACAGGAGCAATTGGTTACATGGGAACAAGTGCCTTTGTCCGAAAAATCTATACTAATGTGAAAATTGACTAAAGACCCAAGAAAACCTGGAACTTTGGATCAATTTTTCTTTCACAGGGGTGGAACTTGCACAGCAAAAAAAAAGCGCAAGAGATTTGGGCTTTAACACTGGGTACTTTGTGGGTCTCTCTTTCGTGGATGGCTTAAAGTAACATCTATTTCCATTGATCCTAGGTTCTTACTGACTGCTTTCTCCAGCTGTTCACAGCAAATGCTTGGATTTTATGCAGTAGGCATTACTACAGTACATGACTAATCTTCCCAAAAACTAGCTCATTAAAGATGAAATAGACCAGCTCTCTTCAGTGAAGAGGACAAATAGTTTATTTAAAGCATTTGTTCCAATAAAATAAATAGAGGGAAACTTGGATGCTAAAATTACATGAATAGAAATCTTCTGGCACTAGTATTTCTATGTTACTGAAAAATGATGTTCCAGAAAGATTACTTTTTTCTCTTATTTTTACTGCCATCGTCAACCTATTAAGGGACATTTTTATATATTGAACCTGGGTTCTTTTTTCACCTTTTTTTTTTCCCCGATTGAACTACATCCTTTTTTTTTTAAAGAGAGAATTTAAAAACATTAAATCCTGCATGTAATATATCTGCTGTCATCTTAGTTGGACCAACTTCCCATTTATTTATCTTAAAACTATCCAGTTACATCTTAATTCCATCCAAAGAAGATACAGTCTGAAGATAGAGGTGTACTCTCTACAATGCAATTTACTGTACAGTTAGAAAGCGAAGTGTTAAATGGAGAAGATATTTGTTTTTATTAAACATTTTGAGATTTAGATAAACTACATTTTAACTGAATGTCTAAAGTGATTATCTGCCCCCTCCCCCCCAAGTTAGTCTTACATCTTTTTTGGGTTTGAATGAAGGTTTTACATAAGAAATTATTAAAAACAAGGGGGGGTGGGTAATAAATGTATATAACATTAAATAATGTAATGTAGGTGTAGATTCTCAAATGCATTTGGATGTACAGGTTGACTACGGAGTCCTTTTTTCTGATGATGATTGGTGTAGAAATGTGTGAATCTGGGCGGCTTTTTACATCTTGCCTACCACTGCATGAAACATCGGGGTTTCTTCAAAATGTGTGTGTCATACTTCTTTTGGGAGGGGGGATTGTTTTCTTCTGTTTTTTTCTGAGGCTCCTACAGGAGCTAAATTTGTAATTTAGAAACATTTAATTTTGTTAATCCTGTCTGGGGCACTTAAGTAACATCTAAAGCATTACTGCTTTAGAGTGTTAAAATAAAATTTCCTGACCAAATTGTTTTGTGAAAATATATGTGTTTGCAATTTGAAGATATCTTTCAAAAGGCAATATTACTGAATGCAATTTTTCTTTAATATACTGTAAACTATGCTTTTCTAATACAGGGGACCCACACTTTAAAATCCTCAAACTTGCTTACTTCTAGTTTATCCAGTACAGTCACAGAGTGAATGACAAGGACTTTGAATGAAATTGTGGCACGAGATCTGTTCAGGTTGGTGTACCGTATAAAGTGGGGATGGGTAAAAGTGGTAAGCTTACTATGGGATGAGCAAAGAAAGGTTACAGTTTTCTAAGAGAAGAGATTTTAATTTATACGTCTTTCTGGAACTATCCACAATGTGAAGTTTTCCTAGAACCATTGAGTTTCTAGTTTAATAGTTTGCTATGCAAATGACCACCTAAAACAATACTGTATATTGGTATTTTTAGAAAGACTGAAAATAGCTGTATTTAAACCTTAATGTGAAACTCATGCCATTCGTAGGCACATAAGATGTTTTCATTACAAAATATGTTTCTATAAAGTAATAGGCTCTGCATCTTATAATATAGCATGTGAGGACTGTAAAGGGTGAAATGTTTGATTTCTTACTACTTCAGTATGGCTGACAGGAACAAACAATTTTGATCAGAAGCTGTAGGTACATCCTCTTCTTCAAACCAAAATGTTACATTAAATGTTTTCTACTGGTTCTCCCATTTTCTCTTCCTTCGCACCTACCTTTAAGATCTTATAAGAAAAGGAACTAAAAGTCAGTACTTAGTGGCTTACATTATGTAACTTTTAAACTACATGTTAAGTACTTATAAGAACAGGTAGTCTATCTGATGGAGTGTAAATTGGATGGCAAGCTTCTGTCTTAATAAAATGAAATTTGCTTCTCATGAATCTTGCAAGTAAAATGTAGGGTTTTTAAAGAATGAGTGGTTTAGCTGCTTTCAGGTACACCAATTCCTTTACTAAATTGATCTCTATTTGAAGTCCTTTGAAATCTTGAGTAAAAAGTAATTTTCTAATTTCCAAGTACGTTATGAACTCCATTAAAGTGAATATAAATCACTTTGAAAAGTCCTTTAGAAACTATGCATTGGTTTATGGCTTCATAGAGGGGCTGGATGTGTGCGTGTATGTCTTGAAAAAGATGTAATCCACAAATAGTTTATCTCCCTAGCTCTCAGCTGTAGAATAGTAAAATATAATGTTATTTAAGTTAATTAAAGGGTAGGGTTTTTCTACTCCATAAATGCTATTTGTCTTTCATTGTTAGTATTTGCTCAACTTAGCAACTGATGCTTTGAATACTATAAAAAAAAAAAACTAAGGATAAACTTCCCCATTGTATCTGTAAGCACGGTTCTCCTGAAATTTAGCTGCATTAGTAATTGGCATCATTATGTATGTACATACATATCATATATGTATTAAATATATCCAAGTACAAGAGTTGGGTAAGTTGGAAATGTAATGGCTGGAGGGGTGGTAAAGCATTCTTTAGTGTATCATGTTGGACTCCTAGATTGTGTTAAGTTCTCCCATAAATCAAGCCCCATACCCTTAGAATTCATTATACTTTGGTGATATCTGACCTAATGAATGGTATGCTTGAGTTTTCCATTGAGAGTGGGTGGGCCTCTTTATAAAGGTGGTTGCTACAAATTCCAGTTCTTCCAAAAACCACTTTATTTAGGGTTTATCTACAAACTGTATTCATTTTGATAAAGCTTTTGTTTCCTAAATGTTTACTAACCACCTTATACCAATTGTGTTGCAAATAAATACTATTTTAAGATTTCCTGAAGTTTTACAAGTGTAAAAAAGAGAAAGTGTATTGATGTAATTTGTTCAGAAAAAGCTACATACTGAAGGGCTTCTGTATATGAATTCTGGGAAAGAAAAGTCTTTCTGTAATCTGTACACTGCAGTTCCATTTGGGTTTTAAGTTAGATTTCACCATGTCTTAGTGCTTCATTCTGTTGATTTATTGGAACATGTAATAAATAGGAGTAGTGACCTATGAAAACACAAGTATTCATTAATACTTTATATCTTCATAAGAATTGCATAGTTATGAAGCTATATTTTAGCAATCAAGATGTTAAAGAGATCAGAGAAGTAAAAGTTTATAAAGATTGTTTAGAAGTGTGTACAGAAATAGACTAGAGTAGATTTAGAGGTAGGGTTGACCAGAAGGTTGATATACAGCTGCAGAAATATTACAAGATTTAGATTCAGTATGGGGAATAACTTTCTCTGCTATGAGCTTTTTCTGAAAGCCATCTGATTTGTCAACATTCTTATTGGAGCTGTAGGCAGAATTGTGCAAAGGCAAAAGTAAAAATTAAATTCTTACTTTACTGTATTAGGAAGTGGAAATAAACTGTTGTGAAAACTATTTACACTGAAGTATTGGTGAACTGGACTTGCTGATAATTGACTGATACAGCAGAATACTGTGTGTTCACCCTAATTCATCAGTTTAGGTCACTTGAAAATTATGAGCCTTATAAGGTAAGAGCTTAGGCAAGTAAGAAACAACATGGCATTCTATTTAAAGGAAAACGATACCCTTGGAAAAGCAGTCCCACTTGGACTTTTCAGCTGTGTCAAACTTGAATCTGTAGATCCGCACAGAGCACGGGCAGTTGGTGACAGTGGGAAGGAAACAGTTACTGCTCAGTGATTACCTCCATTTTGTGCGCACCCTTGGTTTGTGTAGGCCATATTCCAGCTGGCTTTTTAGTAATAGAAATCCAGTACAGTATATAATGTGTCACATTTGAGGTTCTGATCTAGTCTGTTAATCTAACTGAAGTTGGATTTTTTTTTTAAGTAATAAAAAGTCAAATGTACTTCCCTTGGATGCTTTATTTCTTTCCTTTTCGAAACAGGTGAACCAAGCATAAGGGATAACCCATTATTATTGGCACGCATATGAAGAGATTACTAATAGCTTTCCACAATTAAATAAAGCAGGGGTCAGCAAGCTTTCTGTAAAGAGCCTGATAGGAAATATTTGAGGCTTTGAGAGCCATACCATTGTAGTACAGCAGCCGTGGTGGACAGTACGTCAGCTAATGAGCATGGCTGTTCTCCAGTAAAACAACAACAACAGCCAGTGGGCCATCGTTTGCTAACCCCTGAAACAAAGGATTTAAAATTTAATGTTTGGTTTTTCCCCAAACTTTTTATTTGGAAAAAAAAAGTTAAATATACAGAAAGTTGAAAGAATGGTACAGTAAGATTTGTCTTAAGAAATTACTTTTCTTTTTTATTGTCATTCTTTTGACTTTATAAAATATACAAGCTCTGACTCTTACATTCAAACCGCATTACCCCTGCGCCTGTCTTTCTCCTGATTAGTAACACATTGCATTTGTCTGGTACTTACTACTTTTTCACAGCAGCTTCACATACGTTCCCTCACAACTATGCTGCGAAGCTGGTAGGGTAGACAGCTGCGTTTTGTATATAAACTAGGGTAGCTAAGGAGTCTCTTTTTGCCCAGATGTAATCAAAACTAGGGTCCTAACGTCTTGACTACTGTACCTGTAAAATGAAGACACCTCCTCTCCAGCCTATGGAACAGATAATGTACATAGAGATCACATTGGAAACGAGTGTTCTATACTGATGGAAGGGATTCTTTTTATTGTACTGCATCAAAATCAGTGGTTCATTTCTCCATGTCTATTTGTACTTTTTTTTTTCATCTCCAGTTTTAACTAGTTGCTTAAATTCTTGTCAGCCTCCTTGGTTCTTTTCTCCCTCTGATTTTTTTTTTAAACCAGCCTTGACACCTATACTTGGCAATTCCCGTTAGCCAAATAGTTTAAATTGGTACATATTTGAGTTACTTTTGATCTCTTTAGTGAACACTTTTTGTCTAGTTGAAAAACTAGAAGTATAAGGGAATCTCTTCTATAACCAGCTTCTGGATTCAAAGTGAGAACTGTTTTATTAAATAGCTAATCTACAGTTTAACATTAAAAAGGGGGGAGGGGATAAGCCTGCATTGGGACATGTGGAGTCAATGGTAATGTGGTCTACAAATGTATTTACAGTTATTTTCAAAGTTTTGCATGTATAAGGCAACAGGAGTTTAAAAATTTTAAAATGTGGGACATGGTTGTAGGGAGAGCTTGATTTAAGTCATTTTAACCAGGCAAAGTCACAGTCATTCTCGGTGGCTCAGTTTAAGCCACTGAGATTGTGGGGCTTAACCTTAGAGGTCACTGAAGGGAAGAGAGGGTCTAGAGAGTGAGATATGGAAGGCAGTTTCCAAATTGGTGTTGGCCAGAGAGGTTTGCTGCAGGTGACAGACCCAGAAGGTAGGATAGACGTAAATAGGGAAGTGTCATAGGTATGGTAGCTGCTGTAGTGTTGCCATGAAGGTGCCAGCTATGTGGTAATGAAGTTGTCCCGCACAAAGACTTGGAGGTGTGAGACAGCAAGGCCCTGTTAGGATGACTGCAAGTACTGGACAGATGGCAGGAGCCAAGGTTGGAATCCACATGAAAGGATGGTTCACTGGTGGATGGAGGGCCTGGTGTGCTACCCTTAGGGGCTTGGGTAGAGGTTTCAGAGAGCCGCAGAAGGTTTTAAACTGCTGCTAATAATTGTAACAATATTAAATATTTTAAATGACCTCCAAAAAAACTGAAAGTACCTTTCCAGTGCTCAGTAATGTAGACTAAAATGAACCAGCAGATGAGAGTGCCTGCTTTATTCTGGAGGTTCTGCTCCCTGCCTTGGACAAGATGATGTATAGTAGCCTGGAAAGGCATGATGAGAAAGTGGCCTACATGGACTAGTTAAGGAGAATAAAACTTGGTAGCATGGAGATGGAGGCATTTGAGAGCTGCTACAAGACAGCTGGTCACTCTGGTCATAGGGGTATAGTTGGAAAGAGTTGGGTGCAGGGTTTTCCACAGGACCATGAGCCACAGGGGAGGAAACACACATAATTAGGAATGTAATAATGGAAATAAATTGAGCAGCTTTAGATCAGAAAGCCTTTTATTCTAAATCTACCTCTCATTTTCATGGGATTTAAAGAAAAATACATTTGAAAAATTACTTGAACCCAGGTTATAGTATATAAAAGTGGTGAGTGAAAAATCAGAAACCATAGAACTGAGAAAAATATTAACTGTCGCTTTCAGTTGTTTCTAACTTACTTATACTGTGACCCAAATGCTTTATTATTTGTTGTTTGATAGTCAAAATAACATTTAAACAGGACTTCTGACATAAAACTGTGCAGCTTGCTCATCCTGGAGCATGGCTGTCTTCAAATTATTTGGGCAGTGCATTGGTGAGAAGCCTGGCAGCTACTCACCAGGTGGGGATAAGAGGCAATAAAAGCTCGCAGCCTCAGTGCTTGCACAAGAGGTTGCCTGTAATGTCTGTTTTCAGGAGGAATTCCCTGCTAATGAAGAAGCCAGTTGGCTGTTTGCCTAGTGCCATCTGGAGATCTGGAAGTGTCACAGAAGTTTGTTCGGCCTTTTAGATGTTGACTTTGTGGACTTGTCTACTGACAGGTGGCAACCTTCACTGGGTTGAATGCAGAGACCTGTGGCGTTGGGTTTGACTCCTTCCAGCATTCAGGCAGAAATGACATTCAACCCCTTCCCACACCTATTGCCTGTTTAGTGGCCAGTTGGTCTTCCCTGCCATTTGGTGGCATCTACCCCCCCACCCCATTTATCCATTCCATCTGTCGGTTTAACCAGATCTTCTTGCCCAATCTGGCTCCATCCTGTATGTGCCCATTTGATGAAAACTTAGCATGAAGCAGGATCAACTTGCAATTCTAAGGGCCAAGACAAAATATCCAGTAACACTTTTCCAGTAGTTAACTTTTAAACCTTAACTAGTTTGAAGGACTTGTTACCCTAGTTACTAGATGAGAAGACAGATGATAAAGCAAGAAATTTGAATCCTATGTAAAGCCCAGCTCTGGGCTCCCTGTCAGCTATTTTGTCATTAGTGGCTGTGAAACCATGTGAAAATCCAAAAATGAATCTCAGTCCATTTTTCTGCTTGCAGTTTACATGAAAAACAGAACAAAAAAAGATTCTACAGGGTGTGATGCTGAAAACCTCTACACACTGGTGTGTTTTACTTCTTGATTAGGGCAATTTTGCTTGCATAAAAAGGTCTTGGAAAAACCTCGTGGTAATAGTACTTTTTATGCCTGCAAATAAAAATGGCTCAGTTCTGACAATTTTTATGTTTAAGGTACAACAAGGAGTGAGTTTAAAATATCTCTTGATTTTCTCTTAAATTATTCGGTCATGTGTTTTTAATTGGCAAAAAAATAACCAGACTTCAGAAATTGG